AGAGTCTCTGTAGTTTTCTTCCGGTATTTGGTATAACCCTCGTAGCTACCTTTCCTACCCATAAGACCCATTATGCTTAGTGTCTGTCTGTTGTCTTCCTCCTCACTGTAACCATTTTCATTTTCACTGTAACTCATGTAAATAGGCTGAGCCGCTTTGCATAAGCATGCTGATTTATATGAATGCTATTTTGATCTCAAATTGATTGAATACTAAAAAGGAAGCCTGGGGGGAAAGAGCAGTGTGTTATGAAGGTCTCCTGTCAAAAACAAGAGAGAATACTTGATCCTAAGTACATTTCCCGGCTATGACAGGTATTTTATATTGTCTATATTTTAGAAGACAATATTCCCAAATACACTAAAACCTGTATACTGAGGCCCACTTGTTTTCAAATATAATGGACTGAGGACTGGAAAGACAACCTGAATTTGGCTCCCAGCACCCACACAGGGAAGCTCATAACTACCTCCAACTCGAGCTCTGGGGGAGCTGGAGCCCTCTTCTGGCCTCCTCAGGAAGCTGCAGTCATGTGCACAACTACACACTGACAAATAGACATACACAATAAAAATAGTTAAATTATTAGATTATTTTGAAAATAAAATACACCTAATCATAACAAGGGAAGGCGTGAAGGTCAGCCCTAACTCCAACAGCGACTTCGTAATCCCATGCTGCGTTGACACGGAAAACAATGAGTAATGCAGAAATATTAAACTACACAAAAGGGGATATCCTAAGATATTTATTGAACGAGAAATCACTTACTTGAACACCAAGAAATCTGAGAATCTGAGTCATGGATGCTCTCCAGGTCGAAGCCAAAACCCAAAAGGAGAGAGTACACCCCCCCTAGCTCTACTTACCACCATACGTCCTACGTACCCATGAACACACCCACACGGGAGTGGTCAGCGCTTACGGATACATAAAATCACTCCCTACAGATCAGTCACTTCTGGTCACACACCTGAAGGACTAAACCAGCAAACACAGAGGTACCATTCACAACCTGGTTTCCCGCTCACAATAGCCTGTATGTGGACTCTGCCTTCGCGCCCATCAATAGACAGACAGACACAGATAATGTGGTCCAAATACACAGAAATTTTATTGCGCTGTGAAGTGGAAAGGGAATGTGATGCCTGCAGGAAAACGGACACAGCTGAACGTCATTGTGTTCAGCAAAATGAGTCAAATAGCTCGTGTTGTCTTCATATGAGGAATCCAGTCTTTGTATGTGGACATGTGTGTACATGACGTGTGCACATGTGTGTATGTGTGTTTACATGTGTGTCCTTGTACAAACAGGAAAGTATAATAAGGACCATAGTAGGGGATAGAGGAGACCCTAAAGGAACAGAGGAGAAGGAGGGAGGGGGTGTGGAGCACATGTGAGAGGGAAGATAAGGGAGCTGTTAGCCTGCAGGAGTCAGAGGCCAGCAAGAAGACAGGAGGGCAGGGGAGGGCAGGGGAGGGCAGTGGGTGGGAGAGCACAGATAAAAGCAAAGTGATAACACACATGCATGCAACACCACAATGAATAACACACATGCATGCAAACACCGCAATGAAGCCCACTTGTGTTTTAACTTTAAAATCGAATATTAAATAACGGAGAAGTGAATATGCTCTCAGCCCTGGGCTGGACTGTCCCCTGTACTTCTGATGGGGGAAGTGTATATGTCAATAAAACACTGTTGGCCAATAGGGAACCAAGATAGGTGGGACTAGGAGTCCAGGAGGACTCTGGGAAGAAGAAACACAGGAAGTCAAGATGTAACCGCCATGGGGTAGGAAGCCCGGAAATTTCTCCGGTAAGAGAAATACTTAGATTAACAATTATGGGGTAAATACTTAAGTCAGAGCTAGCCAGTAAGAAACAAGCAAGGCCAACAGCTTCATAATTAATATAGCCTCCTGTGTGTTCATTTGGACTGATGCGGCTCTGGAACCAGGCTGGCAGGAAGATTTCTCTTTACATAATGGTGATCAGGAGTGGGATGATGAATTTCCACGTAGAATGACAAAAGCTTTAAAAGAATTTTAGAAACAAAAGAACGGAGAAAAGCATGGATTTTTGGTAGCAGCATTTTCTCAGGTGGGCTCTGTTTAGCGACAAGCAGAGACTCATGCGATTTGCTTAAGGGAGTCTTTCTGACTCAGCATGAAAAAAAAAAAACAAGGTTCTTTTAAGAGACTCTGCTAACAATTGAAAGATGTATACGTACAGATGGAAGTGAAATGGCAATGACCACATCTCCAAGCCGGCAAGCTTTTGCTGGATGTCAGCATAGACTGTGTGCTGGAGTCATGCTTATGCCCGCCATCTTGGACAAACTGCAGTTTAAACAGCCACGGTTTTAACAGATAAGACACATGGTCAGAAAAACATAAAGATTTACAGTAAAGTCAGACTTGGATGAAGAAAAATCTCTAAAGGTTTACAGTGTGTTTAAAAATATATGTAAGATTGAGAGAAAAAGAAACGTCATAGTGGTAAATACATTTTGATCATTGACACAAGATAGTTGTTTTAAGTTTAAATATCCTTTTTAGACTAAAAGGGGAATTGTAGGAGGAAGCCGTGTGCCGCCATTAACCACGTGACTTACTAGAGGCGCATACAGATGAGGTAATAAAAGAGCGGTTTACCACACCGCTAACCACACCCACTTTAGGCATGACTAAAGACGTATACATATGGACGTAAAGACGTATACGTACGTAGGCCTGGCTAGGGGGCGTTACGGGGGGAATGTATAAAAGACTGAACAACGGAAGTCTTGGTCTCTTTTTTCGGCTTTTGGCTTCCGGTTTGGCGGCGGAAAACTACTCGGCTCATCTGGGTTACTTGTTTGTCTCTTGTGAGTAATTTCTACAATAAATAGTTTTACTTTCAGTAAGTGTGCCATTTATCGTTGCAGCATCATACTTCCTTTGGTGACTGTCCCTTTAGAGCTTCTGTCTCCCAGCCTCCCTCCCTCCCCCCATGTGGCAACAGTCTCTACGGGGGCTCTCTGTAGTTATTTGCTGGATCTGTCTGCTATCAAACCTCTCTCCACAAGCCTCCTGCTCGTGACCCTGATTAATACCATCATGCCTGTAAACTGCCAAGAGCCCGTTCTTGGCAGGGAGTCTGATCTTGACATTTGCACTTTATTTTGCATCTTTCCTAGAATATTGTCTTTGCAAATCTTGTCACTCATCTGCCGTGAGAGTCCTCTCTATTCCATCCCCAGAAGGGTTGCGGTTACTCCAGCTCCCTGAGCCAGGTGCCCTCCCTCTGGAGGCTTGATATCTAATCTCCTCATCAATAACCTTGCCTGCTACCCCCTACTGTAAGTCTGACCCTGATCTTTTCAGAGGGCACAGGAACAGCCTGGGTGCTACTCTGGCTTGGACACTAGCTGGCAGAAGCCCGGCTGTCATCGAGACCGTCTCCTATTCCTCACTCCCCAGCCTGTCACAGGGAATCTGCTCTGTTGAGACAATTGAAGGGTCCTCACTTAATCTAGACTTTCAGACCCTTGGTATCTTATTGATGCACAACGGCAACCTGCAAACTCCAAAGCTTGCTCAGTTGGGAAAGAGTACAATATTAGTGCCCCTCACCCACAAACCATACAGAGCACACACACACATCCACAAAATGAAATCTTTTAAAGTGCTTTAAAATGAAAGAGTCTGTAAAAATGGTGAGTGATTGTATGCAAACCAGGGGAGACTTGGCACTCCTTTAAAGAGCTGGTTTTGCCGGGAATCTAGCTGGTTAGCTTTCTCTTTTGAAAAGGGAGCTGCTGGCAATCCTACCGGCAAGGGGCTGGAGATTTACATGTGACAGCAGCTCAGCCTCAGAGCTCTGCTCTCACAAAGGCACCTGCCCCAGAAAGAAACACAAACCCTGACAGGACTTGGCCTCCCCATTAAAAGTCTGCCAAGGTGTTTCTTCTCCAGAAGGTGTACTAATGTAAGAGCAAAACAAGACGAGACTCTCGCTTCTTCAGACTTCTCAGGCTCTTTCCTGGCGTAGCTCCTTTTTAAACATTCTGTGTGCCTCCCAGTACTGCACACCTGAAGAATGCACACACACGCTCCAAGGAGCTTTCCGCACTTGTCTTTAAAGGCTCAGGGTAACTTATTTTATTTTTTTAATAAACAGGGTAAAAGACGACCAATGAAGGAAAAAAGAGATCCCCAAAGTTACGGCTGCGCCTGAGAGCTTAGTAAGGAATACCTCTCGGAGACACAGTCCTCTTGAGGTGCCGTTCCCATCTATCATTCTGATTGATCACTGTGTGGTTGGCCATTATTGGTCCTAATTTAACCCTATATGCTCGCAAGGCTCGCACATCCATCCACCTGGTATATTGTACCTGACATTCTACAAATTACTTACTCATGCAAATGGTGACCCAGCGCAACCTTTTAGGATATTCGTGTTTAATTATACAAATGGTTCTTGATAAATAAGATTATACATCTCCCCATATGTTTATCCCCTCCTTGATGAGCAGAAATTTAATTTTCATGCAGATTTAATGGAGAGGGTGTTTAAGAATTGCTGAGTTTTATGGAGTCCAGGAATCTATCCAGTCTGAAGGAACTGACAAAAAAAAAGAAAAAGAAAAAGAAAAAGCACCTCGCTGTTCCACAGAGACAGAGGGGAGCGTGTCAGCCAGCTGCAATCTACCTGAGCTCCCTCCTTGTCCTATGATCCTTTGTAATTACAAACTTGCAAGATCAAAATTCATCCTATTGTGTTTAGCTAGTTTAGGAGGCTGATTTATCTATATTTTTACTTTTTATTGAGACACCGTAGCCATGGCTGGTCTGGAACTCATTCTGTAGAACCAGACTGGCCTTGAACTCACAGAGATCCACTCTGATTTCCAAGTGCTAGGATTAAAAGTGTGCATTACTAAGAACACGCCTGATGTTCTTTTCCAGTGTGAAGGTACCTTTGCTCTGATTAGTCTTGTTGACTCTTTTTAAAGGTATGGGCAGTGAATTCTGCAGGGAAAGCCCCAAGTAACTGGACTCAGTGTAGAGCTGGCCCCGCCCCACCAGAAGGTCTCAAAGCGCCCACACTCCACACAGTCTCCTCCACCCAAGCGGTGGCCAACACCTGAGAGACCCCACAGGAATGTCAGCCTCTGCCGGCTCACAGCTCAGAGACCTGACACTCAGCAGGGCTCTTCCTAAAGGCCATCGCCTCTGTGCTCTGGCCCTTGGTCCTTCTCTGTCATTCCTGTGCCTCTGCTCTCATTGCCCGTGACAAACAGAGGGCCCTTCTGAGAGACTGAGCCTTTAGGAAGAAGGAAATATCTAAACTGGAACAAGAACCAGGGTGCTCCTGAAGATCCCAGAGATGTAAGAAACCCAAGACTTTACACGCAGGCAAATTAATTTAATTTAGAAAAGTGGAGGCCAAGTGCTTGAAGAATGGTGGCGTGTATACTTGTGATGAGGTTGGTGGAGTAAATGCTGGTATGAAAAGGAAAAAATAATGAAGCAAAGAGTGTTCTGGGAACCCCAGTTTTCACACACAGAGAGAGAGAGAGAGAGAGAGAGAGAGAGAGGGAGGGAGGGAGGGAGGGAGGGAGGGAGGGAGAGAGAGAGAGAGAGAGAGAGAGAGAGAGAGACAGGGAGAGAGGGAGAGAGAGAGAGGGAGAGAGAGAGAGATCTAGCAAAAAGAAAATCCGGGCTCTGTTGGTGAAGGTATATTCAAGAAAGTTCTACCTGCTCAGAAGAGCATGGCGGGGGTCTTTTATAGCGGGTTGTAAGCCACGCAGGATGCGAAGGAAGAAATCATCGGTGCTGCAGAGTGGCACACACCAATAGGACAAAAGCAGCTTGGCAAGGCGATTGCCTTTGGGAAAGGGGGACCACCAAGGCACAGACTAGCTAGCAAGCACAAGCACATTGGGACACAGACAGGAAGTTTACTTGGTGTTTATTCTAACGGGGGGGGGAGCAGTGGCTATGTCTTTCCCCCACTGGCTTGGGGCTGACCTCACAGTCTTTTGAGAGTGGTTAGTTGTAAAGGAAATGAAGGGAAACTAGGGAGGAATACACTGCTTAAATCACTGAAGTTCACAGAATGGGGTAGGAAGTAGTAAATGAACGGTTTTCTGGGTGAGAGCATTAAGATATTTGCACAAGGTAAGGAGGATCAAAATACTTAGTTTCCTTGTCATAAACAGGAAAAGACTAATATTTATCTATTTATTTATTTTTAGGAATTGATTTTTTTATTTTTAAATTTACATTAGAATCAAGGTTGCTTCACATGTCAGTCCCAGATCCCTCTCCCTCTCTCTCCCCTCTTCCCTTGCTCTCCCACCAACCCCCTATTTCCCCTCCCCCAGTCACCACTCCTTTCCCCAGGGAGGGTGAGGCCCTCCATAGGGAGGTGTCCATAGTCTGTCATTTCATCCAGAGCGGAGCCTAGGCCCTCCCCCAAGAGTCCAGGCCGAGAGAGCATCTCTCATTGTGGGATGGGCACCCAAAGTCCATTTGTAAACTGATCTACTACCCAAGGGCCCATAGATTGCCTAGGCCTCCTCACTGACACCCACATTCAGGGGGTCTGGATCAGTCCCATGCTGGATTCCCAGCCATCAGACTGGGGTCCAAGATCTCCCCTTTGTTCAGGTCAGCTGTTTCTGGGGGTTAACCCAGCCCAGTCTTGACCCCTTTGCTCACCTGTCCTCCCTCTCTGTCACTGGATTCCTTGAGTTCAGCTCAGTGTTTAGCTGTGGGAGTCTGCCTCTGCTTCCATCAGTCATTGGTTGAAGGTTCTGTTTCCCAGAGTCTCTGGCAGTGAGATTGTAGGTTGGCACTCCCCTGATCCATGTCTAAAATCCATATATGAGTGAGTACATACCATGTTTCTCTTTTTGTGACTGGGTTACCTCACTCAGGATGGTTTCTTCTAGCACCATCCATCTGCCTGCAAATTTCAAGATTCCATTGTTTTTTTCTGCAGAGTAGTACTCCATTGTGTAAATGTACCACATTTTCTCTATCCACTCTTCAGTTGAGGGGCATCTAGGTTGCTTCCAGGTTCTGGCTATTACAAATAATGCTGCTATGAACATGGTGGAACAGATGTCCTTGTTGTATGAATATGCATCTTTTGGATATATGCCTAGGAGTGGAATTGCTGGGTCTTGTGGTAGAAAGGACTAATACAACCTTTTGTCTCAGGTGGCAGACTGAGAGTCACCTAGTCCCTACTCTCTTGCCCCTCGCCTCTGTGGCATAGCTCGGGTCTCTCCCTTGTGGCTCATGAGTAAGTGGAGATTAAAATGATTTGTTCACAATGGCTTATAGAGATATTGTGCAGATCTCAGTATTACATTATGAATTATTTAGACCAATTTAGGGAACGATTTGGGCAACTGTGGAGAAATCCTCTGAGGCCAGCATACCCGGTGTTGAGACACAATTTCCAAAGGAGACCCACATGGAGGCAAGGCTCCTAGTGAATGCTAAAGGGATATTAGCATATTTTCTACAGGGCTTCGTAGTCAATAAATATAGATGATGTAAATATAATCAGCCCTTGATTATCCATGCTTATAAAATGATAATATTAATAAACCCAAATAATTTCTATCTGGAGTGCATTGTGTGCAGTTTTTAAAAAATAGCAGGTAGCTCCTTAATTATGTTATTTGTGTCTATGTGGAAATTAATTTCTAGCTTCTAAGCATTACTTTTCTAAATGAGGTCAAAAGTTTTCTCCATATACATCAGAAGTTTGTAGTCCTACAAAGACAAGGGGCTTTTCAAAAGCAGCACTCTGTGAGGGAGGGAGGCTCTCAAAAATTAGATGTTTGCACCCACCCACCTCTGACATAGGTTCAAGGCATTTTAGATGCATAAGTTCTATGCAAGTTACTGCAGTAAAATGCAAACTTTAGTGGTAAAAATATAATTCAAAAGCAGGTTATGGTTTTATGTTTCGTTTTGTTACAAAGAAATCCTTCTGAAAGTCTTTGGATTCAACCCATATTTTGTATACTTGGCTCCATTTTTTAGTACATTCCTAATGTTAGGGAAGAGATATTCTACCTTGTCACCTCTCTTTTGTTGCATCTAACTTTTACTGGACTCTTATTGTAAACCCCCTCCATCAGGATTGGCCATTCTAAGAGTTAACACTGTGCAAAGCGCCTCATGGCTTCTCCCAGATTACCTAGTGTAGGATTCCCTTCAGAGCAGGAGGCATACCATCTCTGACCTGAGATACTCTCTCATCTGGTCCTCTCTCCTGCAGCTGTCTGAAGGCATGGCCACCCAGCAGACCCCTCATGACCTGAGACCCTTCACCACCTATGCCACTGGGGTTGAGGCCTGTGCCTGTTTCAACTGCTGCAGCAGAGGGTCAACAGCAAAGCTGAGGACTCACCCCACCCCACCCTCGGGGCTGTCTCCGCCTCAGGTGCAGACACCAGGCTCAAAAATGGCCTCCTTCCAGTGGACATCCCCTCAGCTCCCCGATGGTGCCACTCACAGGTTAAATGGAACAGATGAATAAACCAAAAGGAGACCAGGCCCAGAGGTGTGTGACCAGCCAGTAGTCCCCAAATTTACAAAATGGATGCATACAGAAAAAAACAAACAGAAACAACGGGACATTCATTTGAGCAGTTAAGCCCCTAGAGAAGTGTTTAAGCCATAAAACCAGCCTAGAGAACAAGGAAAGCCCCTGAAGCAAGAGAGATGCAGGGATGTGTCTGCAGTGACTAAAAGAAGACCCTCCCCTGGGGTTCTCTGGGACCTTGTGTTCTCTGACCTTAGCGGGAGCAAAAGAGTTAACGCCTGCCTTTCCTATAAGCATACATGTGCATCCATACAAATGTGCAACTCTTCACACATGTACACACACATGTGCACACTCTTCACACACACAAATGGAAGTCGTAAAAAAAGGTATTAGGAATAAAATATATAGTTATCACAACTAGAAACATAATCTGTGGGGTGTAATAAGAGAGGAAAATATGCAGTTCCTGGTTCAAAACTTACTCAGAATTCCAATAATTCAAGAACACAGCCTCAGGCTAAACCCAGGACTCCTCCATGCTAGGCCTGTGTGCCCACCGGGTCACATAAACAGGAAGCCAGTCCTACCAGTAATCCCATCACTTAGAGGCAACAACTGTCAACAGTTGACTTAGTCAATTCCATTCTTCTGTACTTTAGAGTTTTTATTGTATCAGAAATCATAGTATAATTAAATTTTCATATTTGATTTTTATTCCTTCTGTCACTTCAAATTTTTGTCACTTAAAAACCTCCAGCAATTTATATGTCTGTGGACTATGTTCTAGAATCCCACAGGACAGTCACATGAACTGAAGCTGTTGGACCTAGATCCCAAGCTGGCCCTGACCTTGACCTTGAGCAAGACCTAAGTGACACAGCAGATCCCACATGTGGTAAGTGGGATGAGCTGAAGGCATCACACCACGCCTGGCTGCCCAGCCCCAGCATCCCTGTTCCCAGGTCCCTTGAGCTTCCTCCTCTCTGACTGAGCAAGCCTTCCTTCCATTTGCTCCCCAGCCTTGCTCTGCCCCTGGGAATATTCTTATTAGTTGTTTTTTTAATCAGTTATAAACGTGGCTCCAAGCCTTCCTACTTCATCCTCCTCCTTTTGCTCAAGTCCTTCCTTGTCCCTCTTCCCTCTTCAGCAGAGTTCACCCTCTTCAAGGCTACAACCCCGAATGAAGGCTGATCAGCAAAGGGATACTTCCTACCCAAATCATTTCCAAACCTCTTCATTCTCTGACCCTCATCTGCTCCAGTCCTGGGCAAGGTGCCTCAAACTCCCCCAAAATACCATTGCTCAAACTGTGGACAACATTTAGGTTCTGTTGTCCATATGATAATCACAGCACACTGTGACAATGCTCAGCGTCTGCTGTCGAAATTTATAGTCTCCTTTAAGGTATGTCCTTGAAACAACTGTGTTGAATATTCCCATTCACTGTCAGTACTGGCCAGAAAGTCAAGGAGCATCCAGATGAGGGCTGGAAGTTAGGACCGGTTCTCTTTGACCATGAAGCTTAGATATTTTGCTTGTGTACTGAAAGAACAAAGTGAGCAGTTACCCACTCTCCCCAGCTTCCTACTCTGCTTCCTGTCATTCTTTTATGGGAAAGAAATAACTAAATAGTAGACCAACAAGGAGTGAGGTCCTCTTGATTCAATACTGAATCCATAGATATGAAAGCATGCAAAATGACTAAAATGTGGGTCTCTAAGCACTAATGTGCTACATATAACTCATTGTGTACACTGGAAGAAATTATGGACCAGAGTTACAATCTAGAATATAATTATAAATAGTGTGGGCAGTTGTAGAGGGATGAGAACACATTCATGCTCACCCAGGGACTTGGGGAACACATCCAGCCTCTACCTGGATTGCCCTTTGGTGGAGAGCAGAACAGTGTAGAAGATCAACAGCTAGTCCTGCGACGAGAAAAATGTGCTTTCCCACGCCTGCAGTGTCTGTGCTCCCACCATTGAGGATTCCAAGTAACAGCATGGCAGCACTCAACATACCGATGAGAGGGGGCAGTAGGTGTCTGATCATCACATAACCTGTCACTCTGCCACAATAGGGCAAAGAACCCTAGGTGCATGGATAGCAGTAAAACGTAATACATAAGGAAAATGATAAGAATTTTAGCACTTATTGCCCTGTAAATAGAATCAAGTTCAGAGTGTGTAATTCCTAGCAATGGCTAACTTGACTGACAAGCCCACATGGGGCACCAAAATGTTTTTCTGCTGGGACAGTGGTTAAGCCTGAATCTACTACTGTTTCAGCCAGTAACTGCTTACTTCTCAGGCAGCAGCACAGTGGGACTTCTGCCTCCTGCCACTGCCACCAAATATAATTTTTTAATTAAATAGCTATCATTCTATTTACCAATAAAGACTCGGGAGTCAGAGGCTGGGGTGAAAACCTGCTAGCTCAGAAAGGTTAAGGAGCAACTCGTTGACTTTCCCTCTTTACCAGCATCTCAGAAAGAGAGTAAGTCTTCCATGACTACAAACCGAAAGCATGTCCACACCCAAAGTCCCTCCCTCCTACTTCCTGTGTGTCTCTGTCTGCTTTCCAACTCCCGCTGACCCTCTATAATTACTTTCTGTCAACTAGTTGCTGTACCACCTCCTGCCAAGGTTGATTTTATTTAATTAACTCAAATGCAAACAGTGTGGTCATATATTCTGCAACACTGTGTCTTTAGGATCTAAACTATATGTTACAAAAGTTAACTATCCCTTACTTTGTTGTAATATGTCTCCTCAGTAATGTAGCCAATGTAGTAGTCACTCCTTTTCTTTCTTAACAGCCAGTGAGGATATTCATGGATTGTAATGCTTTATAAATATCTTGATTATTTTGGAGAAAACAAGGTCTTCTGAAGAAGAGCTCTTCGACCCTAAAAGGTGATATGTTTATGACTCCATCTTTTCCCTCAACAATGTGTTTACATTGAAGATGAGCTATGGTCAAAGTTTCCAGGTTTGTTTCAGTGAGCAACTTAAAAACCAGAGGAGAACGCACCTGTAAAATGCACACCAAGTTGCTTCTAGAACTGACATAATACTTAGGAGAGCCTAGCGTGATTATATACTAATGTACTCCGCTATTGATTGATTAGTCAGGGCAGTGAATTATTATGCTTGGATCGCTGCTTGCAAGGCCTTTTAACTCTCTCAGAAAACAAACTAACAGTTCAAGAAAAAGCTTTAAAAATAAATGGGTGCCAAAAGGACATAATTCACCATCTAAGCAGTTTGGTGCAAAAAAATTAACTTCATCTAGTCCTTGGGGTTTCATAGCAATAAATATTGATTTGATATGAAAAATAGCTATGTACTGTAGTTAATAGTGTTAAGGGCACTTTATCCGTTAAAAGAGGGGAAAATGCAGGAAAATCTGAGCCCCAGGTTATGTCGCTGAGCAAACCCATTGTGTGTTAATAGTTTTATTTATAAAACAGTGCTCTCCATTGATTTTTGGAGGCAGCACAAAGCTGCTGAGGCTGCATTTCGCACGTGTTCCGACTGGCTGTCTTCCTGTCTCCCATACCAGCTTATTATTTTTAATGGGTCTCCAGCAACACCCAGGGTCGTTTCTGTGTGGTTGGTTGGTTAGTTGGCTGATTTCATACACTGTTGCTGACACTCTCCTAAAAGTGCCCTGCGTATCCATCCAGAAGTTTCCACTCCTAACGCTGTGCTTTCCTCACTGCAGGCTTCAGTAGCAAGGCCCGTTTCTGGCGGACGGCAATGAATCCACGGTGTGCGTGGGCTGCAGTGGCACTTTCCTCCTGAATGGCCAGCTAAAAGAGTGCTTGGTCACCGATGGAGGACAGCAGGTGTACAGTGGCCTGGGCACCGCCCTCTACATACCAAGGACAGGGGACAAAAGTTAGTAACTGACATTCTGCTCTGTGTACGGTGCCATGGTCCCCAGCGTCAGGAGATGTTAAACCAGAAAGGTGGCCCCAGGAGGCTTGTCATCCAAGTTCCTTGGTTTATGTGGGCCCTGGCTGGAGGCATCTTACAGCTCGGAATACATATGCATCTCCTTCCAGTTAATTACTGGATATTTCCAGGAGCAGTGCCGTCTCCAGGTGAGCTGAGTGGCTGCGGGAAGGAAGAAGGCCTGTGCGGCAAGTTCAGTTCCCAAGACAAACAGTAATGAACTAAATCAGGAACACCCTGAAGACTTCAGGGGTTCCCTTGCTGTATCCCCACTTGCAAACAGTGCCGTCATTGGCCTGCTGGTTAGTTTTCACCACCAACTTGGCATACGCTGGAGTCATCTGGGAAGAGGAAACCTCTCTGCAGAAGTTGCCTCCTCCGTCAGATAGGCCTGTGGGTGTGTCTGTGAGGCATTATCTTGATGTGGGGGCAAGTGGCATGTGGATGGTGACGTCTCTAGGCATGGTGACACAGGCTATATCTGAAAGTTGCTCAGTAAGCCAGAGGGAACGAGCCAGCATGCAGCATTCTGCCACAGCTCTACTTCAGTCCCTGCTGTCACCTCCCCAATAGTGGAGTGTGACCTAGAAGTACAGGCCAAATAAACCCTTCCCTCCCCAGCTTTGGGTCACGGTGTTTATCAAAGTAACAAAACAGTTACCAGAGCGCCCAACGACCATCTTCAGCCCTAAATCCCTGAGTGAGGGGCTCCCCAAACCTCACAAGATCTGTCCCCACAAGAACCTCCCTTTTCCTCCGGGATGTACCCTTTCCCCCTCTACAACTGCAATTCCAGTTTCTTTGTCTCGGTTCTCAATCGAAACAAGAAAGGTTCCACAAAGGTATTGCAGATTTTCAAGTAATTCATATAGCAAATCAACCCAGGAGCATGTGGGTCCTCCACAGGCCTGTGTAAGCTGAAGGACGACTCCCATTTGCATTCACAGATAGCGAGTTTCACCCTGAGTGAGCCACATACACTGTCACAGCTCCTGGCCACCTGGGCAGTCTGCTACAGAGGGGAGATGGGCTGACAGTTGGCCGATCTGGGTTCTACCTGAACAAGCCTCAGACCATCTGTGTGACCTTGAAAGAGGCACAGGGTCCTGGCAATTGAAACAGGAATTTGGATCATGTGATTCCCAAGTTCCCTTCTGACTCCCCCGTCAAGGAAATGGTGTAGGACCCAATGCATATCAGGATCTGCTCATCTGTAGGCCTTGACTCCTCCGACACGGTGCGGCTCCGGTGGAAGCTCCGGTCTTTCCTTCATCCCATGGACATGCTGCCATTCTGCAGCAGCTTTCTTGCTGATTGACTTTTTAATTAGAAATCTGCACATTAGATGTTAGCTTCTCATTGCTATAACGAATGCCTGAGACAACCTTATAAAGAGAAGATACTTACTCTGGCTCATAAATGGTTCTCGTCTGTTATCTGCTGGCCCACAGCTTTGGGCTTGTGGTGTGGTAGCGCATGGCAGAGCCTCTTCAACATCCACCTCCCCCTCGCAACAGCATTGCCCTAGAAGCAATCACCACTGTGACGTAGTATGCCTTCGCAGAACCATTGGCAGCTAAAGTGTAATGTCCTAGGTCACTTCTGTTGCTGTGATAAAAACAACAAACAAACAAACCACCACAACAACAGGGAGTTAAGGGGGAGAGGACTTATGTAAGCTCATGGTTCCACGGGGAAGGGGGTTGCTCAGTAGCTTGCTCTACTCTTATTAGGTCCAGGACCCCAAACCAGGAAATGGAAACGGCCCCTCCCACTTCCTTCCCACACCAGTTAACAGCATCCCCACTAGTACTAATCATCACATGTACCTTTAGCACTGAGTTCATTCTCCAGTGTTATTCTCAGTGCTCTTTTGCGATGATGCCCCGTGAGCTGGTGTCAAACAACCAAAGATTTACCAGTTCTTTCTTTTGTCCAGCTTTCTTCTTCCGGGTCACCTGCACAACAGACATTGGACGTGCTAAGACTCCAGTGTTCCAGTATGATGCCACTACTGGACTCAGTAAACACCTCTCTTGTCTTGTGTTTAGTGTAGCAGCGTTTATTTTCTTCCAGAGACAGGCAGATGTCTGCATACAGTCTCAGCTAACACATTCCTGGTAGCCTTTTTGGAAGGAGCTGTAGTGTATCATTAAAATAAAAAAGAAAGAAAGAAAGAAAGAAAGAAAGAAAGGAAGAAAGAAAGAAAGAAAGAAAGAAGGAAGGAAGGAAGGAAGAAAGGAAGGAAGAAAACTTTACAGATCCTAATGAAACCTCTACTAGACAAGGAATTGGTATTATTTTCAAAAGCCAAGTCATTGAGTTGTCAGTGTGGCAAACAGAGACCTGATTAAACTTTTACTCTGAACAAATATTTTGCCTGAAGGATTTTGTGATTTCCTATGCAGAAATGGAGCAGAGAGAGAACCCAGGGAGGATGAGAAGAGGAGGAGGCAGTAGGTGGTCAGTCCACTTCCTAATGGGTCAAACGGCATACTGGAGTCAGAGCCTAAATTGACGAACTGGTGACATTCTGTCCCCATCCTTCACGAGGTATGATGACGTAAGGGCTAAGGTGGTGGCTCAGTGAGGAAGACACTTAGTGCACATCCGTAATGACCTGAGTTTGTATCCCAGGAGCCCACTTACAGCCAGGTAGGGTAGGGCAGTTTGTAATGTCAGTGCTTCCAAGTCAAAATGAGATGTGGGGACAGGAGAGTCCCTAGAAACTCACAGACCAGCTAGCAAACAACAGGAGACCCTATCTCAAATGAGGTAGAGGGCAAGGAGTGACATCCAAAGCTGTCCTCCGACCTCTGCATGTTCCCCTCCCTCCCTCCCTCTCTCCCTCCCTCCCTTCCTCCCTCCCTCCCTCCCTCCCTCCCTCACTCACTCACTCACTCACTCACTCACTCCCTCCTTCCCTCCCTCCCTCTCTCTGTATCCTGATTCCATTCTGTGAATATTTGGGTATACCATATATCTCAGACTTAGCCTGGTCTCTCCAATATAGCTAATCTCATTTTACTCAGAGCTTCGAGATAGAAAAGACTTGGTTTGATGTCTTCAACAAATCCAGTTTCCCAGTTGGATAGTGGAGGACACAGGGATTTTTTCAGGAGTTTTCTGCACATTTAGGAGGCTGCTCACTCATCCACAAATGCAATCTTGCTATCAACTCCTGGCCCCAGACATTTTCTTCAAGTGTGTTTCTCCAGCTTACATACATGTTCATAAGAATCAGCTGTGTGTCTGTTAACTATAACAACCTCAGGTGACTGAGGGAGAATAGGGGTCGTGTCTTTTCATTTTATCTCATGTGCATTGGTGTTTTCCCTGCGTGTATGTCTGTGCAAAGCTGTCAGTTCCCCTGGAACTGGAGTTCCAGACTGTTGTGAGCTGTTATGTTGGTGCTGGGAATTGAACCTGGGTCCTCCGGAAGAACAGCCAGTGCTTTTAATCATTGAGCCATCTCCCCAGCCCTGGGACTGTGTCTTTGCAGCATGTCCTGTCCAGTGATTGTGGCCCTGGGGCCCAGCACCCCTGCTGATGGAGCCATACTCTACATCAGCCACCAGGGAGAGGCTCATTTGACTCCAGCTATAGGGTCAGCCGGTTCTTTGTGGCCAGCTACTAACCAGGAGAATTCATCCTGAGTGTGCCTCTGGCACTTGATGAGCAAGGCAGGGACCCTTAAAGTCACAGTGCAGTCTGAAAAGAAAAGGGAAGGCCAGGCAGGATCCTGTTTTCAGCTTTTATCACAGGGCAGTAACTTCCAGTCAGCTCCTAAGCACAAACCGAACTTCCTGCTGCAGACGCTGTGCCCAGGGAGGCCCTCTTATCTGGAAGCAAGTGCTTGGCGGAGCAGAGGGGAGACACTGTGGACCATCCTGGTTCAGGGATGTGCTGCCCTGCTGATGTCTCTAGTCAGTTTTAATTTTTATGATATAATTTCTAAAGAGTTCCTGTTCCGTTGCCTGGAGGCAGCCTCCAAGCAGAGGAAGAGGCAGAAACTGTGTCTCCTACTGCTGTGAGCTTTCCCTCTGAGGTTCCCCTCAGGCACCCTGCCCTTCATCCCCGATGTACTCCTGAGCAAAGAGCACATATAGCCAATCGGATCAGTCTCTGGGGTCCCAGCCCTCACACACACAAGCATGCACAAACACATGCAAGCACACGCACACACACGCACATACACACACAAGCACACACACACACAAGCACACACACACAGGAACTTAACCCTTCTTGTGCACGGCCAGGGTTCAGTTCCCAACACCACATGCTAGCTGTCACTGTGTAGGGTTTCTAACCTGCTGGTGCTTTGTCTTCAACTTTTTGCTTCAGAAGTGAGAAGGAGAGGCGGGGCTGGGGGGGGCGGGACGACAACACATCAGTGACTTTTCAAACTGTGTTACTGATCACAAGAAGAGTTGGGTTCACAAAGTGCACCCTCAAACTCAGTCTGAGTCACCTTCCATGACTCCCCGAGTGTGAACATGTCGTCCCTGCCCTCTGGTCCTGCTCTGCTGAAAACAGGGAGCTGTCCCCGAGCATCAAGTTCAGTGCCACTGTCTTAATCTCTGCAGCTGGCACTGGCTTTCAGAAGGTGGGGCTTTGGCTCTCAGACCCCGCCCAGCCCGGCTGGCGGCTGCATCAGAGCCGCTAAGGTGTCCTTGGTGTAAGTATGGGCAGCTCATCCAAGACCCTTGGCTGCTCAGTTAGCCAGCCTGATGGCGCTGGGACCCCTCAGCCCTCTTTCCCTTGTGTCCCCTTCCTGTCCCCCGTGCAGAAGATGAGGTAATGCTAGCACTGCTTCCTTTTCAGCTCTGCTTTACTGCACCAGAAGACCCGAGGAAAACAACGTGAAGAAGTCTGCTAAGGCTCGCCACTTCAGAGGGTCCCGTCACCGCTTCAGAGGTCCCGTCACCGCTTCAGAGGTCCCATCACCGCTTCAGAGGTCCCGTCACCGCTTCAGAGGTCCCGTCACCACTTCAGAGGTCCCGTCACCGCTTCAGAGGGTTCATCACCGCTTCAGAGGTTCCGTCACCGCTTCAGAGGGTTCATCACCGCTTCAGAGGTTCCGTCACCGCTTCAGAGGGTTCATCACCGCTTCAGAGGTTCCGTCACCGCTTCAGAGGGTTCATCACCGCTTCAGAGGTTCCGTCACCGCTTCAGAGGGTTCATCACCGCTTCAGAGGGTTCATCACCGCTTCAGAGGGTTCATCACCGCTTCAGAGGTTCCGTCACCGCTTCAGAGGTTCCGTCACCGCTTCAGAGGGTTCATCACCGCTTCAGAGGTTCCGTCACCGCTTCAGAGGTCCCATCACCGCTTCAGAGGTTCCGTCACCGCTTCAGAGGTTCCGTCACCGCTTCAGAGGGTTCATCACCGCTTCAGAGGTCCCGTCACCGCTTCAGAGGGTTCATCACCGCTTCAGAGGGTCCCGTCACCGCTTCAGAGGGTTCATCACCACTTCAGAGGTCCCGTCACCGCTTCAGAGGTCCCGTCACCGCTTCAGAGGTTCCGTCACCGCTTCAGAGGTTCCGTCACCGCTTCAGAGGGTTCATCACCGCTTCAGAGGTTCCGTCACCGCTTCAGAGGTCCCATCACCGCTTCAGAGGTTCCGTCACCGCTTCAGAGGGTTCATCACCACTTCAGAGGTTCCGTCACCGCTTCAGAGGGTTCATCACCGCTTCAGAGGGTCCCGTCACCGCTTCAGAGGGTCCCGTCACCGCTTCAGAGGGTCCCGTCCACGGTCTCTAATCTGAGGCCGAACACTGTAGTGAGAAGCGTGTGGAGGAGCACGGATGCTTGCCTCACGCCCCATGACAACCACGCAGCAGACAAATAGGTCTGGACAGAGTACACCCTTGAAGCCATGCCTGCAGCCACCTGCTTCCTCCAAGCCGGCCTCCCTCTCCCCTCAACAGCCCATTGAGCCACCAACCCACCAATGGATTTGCCCGTCGGTGAGGCAAGAGCCTTGACGACCCAGTCACCTGTCATTGGCCCTTCTCTGCACACCGCTGTCGGAGGGAGCAAGCGTTCCACACAGATCTAAACCTCCCTGAATGTGCGCTGTGACTGACGGAGACGATAACTCCAATTTGAGGGCACAAATGGATGTGGAAAAGCTGTCTGAGTGACACTTGCCTCCGCAGGACGCTCCCAGTGTATCTGAGATGATCTGTAGAGCCTCGGGTGCAATGAGCCAGAGGAAAACTTAGAATTGGGCTGTTGACATTGACAGCCAAAAAGAGCTGACGCCTCAAAGTCCGCTTTACTGACCACCCAGTCATCTTTCTAAGATGGCGGTCTGCAGCGCTGTCACTACTGGCCTCACCCCTGTAACATGATGGTGACCTGCAGCGCTGTGACTGCTGGCCTCACCCCTATAAGGTGGTGGTGACCTGCAGCACTGTAACTGCTGGCCTCACCCCTGTAAGGTGTTGGTGACATGCAGCACTGTGACTGCTGGCCTCACCCCTATAAGGTGGTAGTGACCTGCAGCACTGTGACTGCTGGCCTCACCCCTGTAAGGTGATGGTGACCTGCAGCACTCTGAGATGCTGGCCTCACCCCTGTAAGGTGATGGTGACCTGCAGCGCTGTGACTGCTGGCCTCACCCCTATAAGGTGGTGGTGACCTGCAGCACTGTGACTGCTGGCCTCACCCCTGTAAGGTGATGGTGACCTGCAGTACTCTGAGATGCTGGCCTCACCCCTGTAAGGTGATGGTGACCTGCAGCGCTGTGACTGCTGGCCTCACCCCTGTAAGGTGATGGTGACCTGCAGCTGCAGCACTGTCACTGCTTGCCTCACCCCTGTAACATGATGGTGACCTGCAGCACTCTGAGATGCTGGCCATACTCCTGTAAGGGGATGGTGGCCTGCATCATTGTGATCTGTTGGTAGCACCCCTATAAGGTGATGGTGATCTACAGCACTGTCACTGCTGGCCTCACCCCTGTAACATGATGGTGACCTGCAGCGCTGTCACTGCTGGCCTCACCCCTATAAGGTGATGGTGACCTGCAGCACTCTGAGATGCTGGCCTCACCCCTGTAAGGTGATGGCGGTCTACAGCACTGTGACTGCTAGCCTCACCCCTGTAAGGCGATGGTGCCCTGCAGCACTGTGACTGCTGGCCTCACCCCTGTAAGGGGATGGTGACCTGCAGCACTGTGACTGCTGGCCTCACCCCTGTAAGGGGATGGTGACCTGCAGCACTGTGACTGCTGGCCTCACCCCTGTAAGGGGATGGTGACCTGCAGCACTGTAACTGCTGGCCTCACGCCTGTAACATGATGGTGACCTGCAGCTGCAGCACTGTGACTGCTTGCCTCACCCCTGTAAGGTGATGGTGACCTGCACCATTGTGGTCTGATGGCCACACCCCTGTACGGCGATGGCGGCCTGCAGTGCTACCCTTGCTGTACCCAATCCAACACTCTCGCTCACATGCAGTTAGAAACAAGCACACGAGACTCTGCCTCCCTGTCTAGCAACAGTGCCGGGAGCCACGAGGTTACAAGATTGCCTACTGAAAGAACCTTTCTTTCCCTGTGTTTCTCAGGCTTGGTGCTGACAACTCCGGGGGGAAAGAAGGGAGCGGGGACCGAAAGCGCAGAGTTCTACAGGGAGATGTGGTTCATTGTGGCCATGGCAGTGCTGGGCCTGATCTTGCTGGCCATTTTTCTGTCCTTGATTCTACAAAGAAAAATCCACAGGGAGCCGTGTATCAGAGAGAGGCCTCCCTTAGTGCCTCTTCAGAAACGGGTGACCCCGCTGAGCGGCTACCCACCAGGGGAAACCCATGTGGTAAGTACAGAAAGGAAACCTTTTCCTGGTGTGACTTGCTTCACATTCTTATGAATTCACTACCATTTTAGCACTTTTTGGTGAAGCATATACATATAAAATTATACCTGCAAACATGGATAAATTAATCTCATCCTTTCCAGTTTAGTTGAACCTTTCTTTTGCCTGCTCTTGCAAAGACTTCCTTTCAGCACTGCTAACAGCAGTAAGGATGGGCTTCGCTATCTTCTTCCAAAGGAAGGAAAGCCTTTTCCTTTTGCCCCAGTGTTGTATGTGGTAGCTTTTATTATAAATGTTCTTTAATCCATAGAGGCATGGTTATATGTGTAATTGTTTAGCGATTTTATCAAGAGTTTTATCAAATGCCTTTTCTGCAAAATCATGAACTCTTTCTGCTCTTCCTTCTATTGATACAGTATATCACATTTCTGGATTTGTACATGTCGAACCATCCTTGCATGCCTGGGACCAGTTCTAACTGATAATGGCATATGTTCTCTTTTGATGTGAAAAGGGAAATGCTGTTTCAGTAGGCAATCTTTAATAATGACTTCTAGAGGAGTTAAAAATCAGTGTCTTACGCATGATAGCCTTTGCTGGAATATTGGTTTAGGTCCTACTGGTATATAAGCATCAACTTGAATTTTGACCACTAATATGTAATTTGAGTGCTTGCTTCTGTGTCCATCAGGAGTATACATATGTAACTATTTTTGTGTGTAGTAGCACTGTATATATCGGTTTCCATTTGTCTGGCTTAGGTGTCAGGGTAATGTTAGCCTCATAAAGAGTTTGGAAGAGTCTGGTCATTTTGGATTTTTGGAATAGTTTTAAAAGTATGAGAAGTGCCGGGCGTTGGTGGTGCACACCTTTAATCCCAGCACTCGGGAGGCAGAGGCAGGTGGATCTCTGTGAGTTTGAGGCCGGCTGGACCGACAGCCTCCAAAACAATACAGAGAAACCCTGTCTCGTAAAAACCAAAAAATAAAAATAAAAAAGTATGAGAAGTATGCTTTTAGCAAAGCCATCAGATCTTGGAGATTTTAGAGGAAAGATTCTAGCTATATGTGTACGTGTTTGTGTGTGTGTGTGTGTGTGTGTGTGTGTGTGCATGTGAGTGCAGGTGCCAGCAGAGACCAAAAAGTTGTCAGATTTCCCTGGAGCTGGAGTTACAGGCAGAAGTGCTGGGAACAAAACTGGGGTCCTCTTCAAGAGCTGTGAACACTCCTTACAGATGAGTTATCTTTCCAGCCCTGAGTTGAGAAAGTCTTGTTGTTTCAACATCATTTGCTGATTATGGGTTTGTTTAGATTTCTGTTCACTTTGATTCTCTTTGGGACATATTGGATATGCTCAAACACATACTCATTTCTCTGGCTTTTCTAGCTTTTTATGAGTTTGAATTTCTGTGGGACCTCTTGGTAATTAGGAGCATGTTATTCGATTTACATGTATGTATCATGTATGTATTTGTTCCATTTTCATTGCCCCTGATATTCTTAAGATTGTAGTTTTAATCTGTCATAGTCTGAAGAGAACTGTGATTTGTTGAGTCTCGATTTGTGGTTTAACTGCTCCATCCTCAATATTCTGATGAGGGGGATCTGTGTGCTGGATAAAATGTTCAGGAACTGCTAGGAATGTTTGCTTTGATCTATGGCTCTATGCAGCTGTCTCTCTGATGGCTTTGTTTGTATGATGTGCCCAATGAGGAAACTTGGATGTTGAAATGCCCAGCCCCTACTGAATTATCTTTCACTTTAGAGTTAAGTTTGCTTTGTATCAGGAAGTCCCATGCTGAGCACTGTCTTAGTTAATTTTCTCATGTTGTGAAGAAGCACCATGACCAAGGAAACTTATTTTTTTTAAAAAGTATTTAATTGGGGGCTTGCTTAACAGCTTCATAGTCATCATGGCAGGGAGCATTGTAGCAGGCAGGCATGGCTCTGGAGCAGTAGGGAGAGCTTACATGTTGAGACAACAACCATGGTATGTGGGGAGTACAATTGGAATGGTTAGTCCTTTTGAAACCTTGAAACCCACCCCTAAATGACTACCTCCTCCACCAAGGCCACACCTCCTAATCCTTCCCAAACAGCTCTACCAACTGGGGACCATTTTCATTCCAACTGGACATTTACGTATCTTTACAGTTCTTATGTCATCTTCTTGAGCAGATCCTTAATTTTGGTTTTAAAAGATTTCCCTTAGCTTCCCAGGTTGACCTTGATTTTGTGATCGTCCTGTCTCAGCCTCCCAATTAGCAGGGATTACAGACTTGAACTATGAATCTCAGATCATTTTTGATTCCCATTTGTGTGACATATCTTTTCCCAAACGTTTTAGTATACTTGGTGTATTTTTATAGTGAAGCAATGAAGTGAGTTTCTTGTAGGCAGCATATAGTTGGGTCTTAGGAGTTTTGTGACTTGCTCTTTTGGGTTTTGTTTTGTTTTGCTTTGTTTTTTGTTTGTTTGTAACCAGGGATGCCAAAATGGCTTGTAAGTCAATCTCCCTTCCTCTGGCTCCCATGTACTTACATTATGGGTGTGTACCATTATATCTGGATTTCAATTAAGTCTTACTGCTGCCGATATATATTTCTTGATTGATTGGTGAATTTAATCCATTTACAGGCAAGTATGTTACTGATAAACTAACTTCTTCCTATCATTGTGATAACTATTTTTGCATTCCTTGTACTTGTTTGTCAGCATCTAGTTTTAAATCTTTGAGGTACTATTCCAATGAGTATCACACAGTCTTGTTTTCATGACAGCAGTTACCAGCTGTTATAATACTGCACAATGGGGACCTTGCTGGAATCCATGGCAGGGGAGGGACAAACACACCAGACAGACAGAGAATAAGTGGGAAGTTTTATTGGGGAAAGGGAAGGGAGGAAAAGGGAGAGGGAGAGAGGAGGGGGGGAGAAAAAGTCCTGTCTGCCCCTTCAGAGGAAAAGTGGGAAAGAGAACAGAAGTGGGTGGAATTTTCCTCTTAAAGGGTCCTTTGTACCTACGTGCAGACTATATAGTGATGTGGCAGTCATAGGACCCTAGGATGGCCAGGGTACTGCCTGAGTGCATCCTGCCAGGAGACAGGGGCAGGCCAGTATGATGTCTGAATCCTAACACCATCCCTTCATTTCTAGTTAGGACATCCCCTAGAATTCCCTAAGTTCCTTCTTATCTGGCAAAGACTTTACTTAGTATTATTTTAAAGCATGTTTTCTAGTCTGCGTTTTAAATATGTAATATCACTCTCTTCTTGCTGTAAGTTTTCAGTGAAAATTATGCTGCAGATGAGAGTAGTCCCTTAATGTTTTGAGAATTCTTGGTCACATACATAACATTTACTAACACATACCATGGTTAAGGTCTATTCTGGAAGAATAGCTTCATAAATCTGGATATCCATATCTCTGGGGATTTTTAAAAAATATATTATTGTGTTTATGTGTTTGTACAATGTATACTGATCATATCCATTCACCATTATCTCCCTCTAATCCCCACCCCCCAAATCTTCTTCCAGACTTCAGGCTTTTATTCTTTTCAATTTGCTACTAATACCAACACCCCAATACAACTAATGCTGCCCACATGTGCATGGGTATGAGGGCACATCCACTGGGGCATGGACCTGCCTGGACCTGCCAGTGAACACATCTCCAAAGAGGAGTGTTTCCCTCTCTCAGCAGCCACCAGCTGCCAATACCTCTTCTGAAAACAAGTGACACACGCTGTAACTTTGACTGGCAGCAGCTGTGTCCTACCCAGAAGTCAGTATTGCAGAGATCTCCTCCACACCCATCAGCTCTTGGGAAATTTTCAGCCATTATTTTATGAAGTAGTTTTTTTCAGTACCTTTCCCCCTTTCTCCACTTCCTGTAATTCTCAGAATGCAAATATTAGGTCACTATTGGCCTTGTAAGTTTCATCATTCTTGGTCTATTGTCATCTTAATGTCCTAGTATCAGTAACCTATCTCCAAGTTCTGAATTCTTTCTTTAGATTGTCCTATGCTGTTGTGGAAAGCTCCCCCTCATTATTTTTCATTTCATTCATGAAAGATTCCTGATTGGTTCTTTTAATGATTTTTATTTCTTAGTGAATTCTTCAGTTACCTTCTACATGTCCCATCATTTCTTTTTGATTCATCTGTATGTAAGTCTCACTTAATTCCTCTGGAATCATCTTTATTGCTTCAGGCATTTTGTAGGTTTCCTTCAAATTTAGTTGTGTTCTTGGGAATTCTTATTAATAACTGGGCCAGCAAGTGGTGGTGGCACACACCTTTAATCCTAGTACTTGGGAGGCAGAAGCAGGTGGATCTCTGTGAGTTCAAGGCTAGCCTCCAAAGATACTCAGAGAAACCCTGTTTCAAAAAACAAACAAAGAATTGATCACATAGATCATATATCCTCTCATGATTATGTGCTTAGACTTATACCTACTACAACATTTTTCTTCCATTTTTTTATAGGAAAGGGGTTCTGCTGTTGTTTATATGGGATATTGGATGACAGTTTGCAACATCAGGCTATAAGGGAGCTTAAAAACGTAGTTTCTAACTGTCTAGACTGTATTAGTTCATGGTGGCACTTATTTGGTTTGAGGTAGACATAGAAGAATATGTGTCTTTAGGCCCAACAGAGTCAGCTTTGACAACACCAGGATTGGTGAGCAGCTGCCGGTTCAGGTGGTGTGGGTACGGGGAGGACCCAATTTCTTGGGGCAAACACAGGTAAAGCCGAGGATTGTGTCACAGCCATGGTAATTCTTGAGCCACAGGATGTAGGCTGGGGCCTTTTGCAGGTACCACAGATGTTCGAAGATAGTTCTGGCATCTATGGGCCAAGTAATTATGCACTTCCCTAGGTCCTGTAGGCAATGACAATGGCAGAAGACAGGGAACAGGGACTCATGGCACCAGCAAATATGACCCCAAGTCCACAGGCTGTGATGCTCACACATCTGGTCAGTCATCTATTACATACAGTGTTTTCATTTAGGCGTGTCCTTGCCACACCCATTCTTAGGAGGACATTTGGAAAACTTTCACTTGGTTTCACAAATCAGTACAGGTGGTTCTAGGGCTTGTGGGATTTGTCTCTAATAGTCCTAGAGCTTCAGAGACCTGAAGGGGACAACCCTGCAGGGAGAGCTGTTCTGGGGATAACACTAACAGCTCAGGATTTGATGTATAGGCTCTTCCCCTGATCCTCAGGGCATCCTTTTGTACCCATAGCTATAGTAGTCTTAAAGTTCCTGGCTAGAGGGGAGACTGTCTATAGATCCTCTCACCAAGTGCAGGTGCTGGCAGGTTAGAGCCACCACTTACCATATTTCTGAAGCCGTAAGACCTAGCACCCACAGAGCTGCCTTGGGTTTTCCTGGAACTTTATCAGCTCTAGCTGTGTAGACATGGATGAGACCAGGGATTTTCAGCAGTGGGTACAGTCCAGCTGTGGTGGAGAAAGACCCTCCCTGACTCATGAGCTCATAGCCGGAGCAGAGACCAGTCTTTGTACTGCAGCATCTTGTGAGAGCCATCTTCTGCCCAGGTGGGTGGAAGTACAAGTCCAAGGCTATGGGAGGTGGCTATTATTTGGCTGCCAAGATGTCATCAAGAAGGAGCTGTTATGGTTGCTTGAGTTCTGGGGGTAGTTTAGAGTGAGCACCTTCCTTGGTTCATAGAAATCACCTCTCTTTTTAAATTTGTGTTGGGACTGAACCCAAGGCCCTGCACACGCTAGTGGGGTGTTCCGTCAATGAACCACAGCCCTAGCTGGGGAGTTGTTTTTATTAACAGTCATCACTCCAAAGCAGATCTTTCACTTGTAAGTGCTGTGGACATTTCCCTTGGGTTGCCTGTCTGATGTTAGGGCCCACATGCCTGGTACTTGATTACGTGATGCCAGCAGCATTTGGCTCCATCCTGGCCAGGACCCAGGGGACGACGTCACCCATTGCTTCTCTGTAGCCTCTAGGTCACCTTCTGCTGGTGGTCCTAGCTCTTCGGGGTTTCCATCACTTCTGGATTCCAGAATTCATCCTCTGTCCTCCAAACAGTTTCCCACCAGTGGCTCGAACTCTTCTCTGTGGTAGAGCTATGTGAAGGGCACTTCTTGGCCATCTTGGCTCCGAACCCCTGAAACAGCGTTAAACAAAGACTGACGCACCCATCTGCTTGTTTGTTTTTTCTTCTCAGTTTGACTCTGTGGCTGATATATCTGACGTGTCCAGCAATGTCACCCTAAAAAGTTACACCATGCACTTTGAGGTACCTCTGTGTGCTGCACGGATGCCGTCTCATCTTTTGCATGCTGTGTTTACTGTCCAGTGAGAAGCAGAAATATTCCACCGACGGGACCATTAAGACAGAAACTGGATGTCTCAGTCAGCCAGAATTTACCCTTAAGAGTACAGCTTAGATTATAATTATGGGGACTTTTGCCTTGCTGGTGACAATGACAGAGCTGATGATCTGTGGACTCTACAAGAAGGTAAACGTGGGGAGAAGAGGAAGGGAGGGATCACATCCTACACCAGTCCAGAGCTCTGGAAATGAAATATGTATTGCTCTTAGTGAGCAACCATGAGCGATACGCTTCACTTTTGACAAGGGGGAAGACACATTCAAGAGGCAAGCTCCATGTCAGTTAGAGTACCTTAATCCAGCCCCAAGCCCCGGCTGCACTGCTTGGCAGGTCTGGCACTGCCACCATACCAGCATCGGCACATTTCTCATGGAAACAAGGGCACAGTATTCCAGGTCCTCACAGCTCCAGAGCACAAGTCCTGTTGTAGGAGGCTCTAGAACGTCATTCCTTTCAGGCGCAATTGTGAATTCCAGTTCCTAACCATGCTGTTACCCGTTCATTTCCAACAGCAGCTTTCCATGCAGGGATTAGCCGATACCAGAATCCCTCGGTCTGGGACACCCTTGAGTCTCCAGAGCAGCCGAAGTGTGTCTGTACTGCGGATCCCGAGTCAAAGCCAACTCAGCCAGACCTTTACCCAGGGCTCTCTCCACCGCAGCATCAGCCAGCTCATGAACATTCCAGACAAGAAGGGCTTGACGGATGACTCACTCTGGGAAACTATTTTGGGCCACAGCAATGGACTGGTGAGTTGGTGGCCTCCTGAACACCACACACTGCTGTCCTTTCAGCACTCCGTGTAGTACCTGCCCCATTATGTTGTAAACAGCCGGCTTAACCATCTTGCTGTTTGGTTAACCAGATAGGAACTGCTTGTGGATGCCACATGTTAAAACACTCAGAAAATACACAAACGGAAACTGACCCGAATAAGGCATAACACGCAACACGTGGTTTACTTAAAAAACTCCAGAAAGCCATGATAAACACTGTTGTTCATTCATTGAGACAAGGTTACATGTAACTCAGGATGACCTTAGACAAGTTTCTCCTTTCTCAGCTTCCTAAATGCTTGAATTACAGCCACGTGCTCCCTTGTTCTCCCCGTTAAAAGCAAACGACCGTGCAGCACTTGGGGAGGAACCCAGGCTAGGCTCACACACTACCACATGAGATGTATCACCAGCCCTCAGTCACCACTTATGAGCTCTGTCTTCCATAAACTTGGTCCAACAGCATGACTGACTGGCTTTGAGGGACCACCTATCATACCAGCTTCGCCCTCCCTAGTGGCTGAGAGGATGAGCACTGTCAGATGTTTACCGACAATACTGCTTTGTCATCCTGGACGTCTACTGGGAGAGAAGAAACTGGGGCCAGAGAGCTTAGCTCTCCTTCATGTCCACGGCCTCCAATCAACTGCTTTCCAAGCTTTCTGTACTTTCCTTCACTGCAAAGATGGCGGCTTCCCATGAGTTCCTTCCTGACTAATGGCAAATGACAAAGGGATTAATTGCCTGGCTCCAGATCCCCTTCCCTGCCATGCCCCTAGTCCTTTGTGCAGATTCTGAAAGACTAAGTATATACTGAAGGTAAATGTTGCCTTCCTGGGGCTGGGGTCGAAGCTCATTTGACAGGGTGCCCAACATGCATGAAGCTCTGGGTCCAATCCCCTGAACAGTGGTGCACACCTGTAATTCCAGCACCAGGAGGATCACAAGTTCAAGGCCATCTTTAACTACATGACCAGTTTGAGGCCACTTGGGATACATGAGACCTTGCCTCACACACAAAACAAAAAACCTTCTCAGAAATCCTGTTTGATCTTGTTGTAACTCATTCAATTACATAATTTCATCCCAGATCTAGGTTTTAAATGGCAGGAATAACTAAATTGAATAATTGTTACATAATTTTTTTTCAAAACATAAATGTACTCAATGTAACAATGAAGATGTAGACAGAACATTTCACATAATCCTCATGCTATCTAGGAAGGGCTGTTACCATGGTTACAGAAGGAGTGTAGGGTCAGAGGTGCCTGGGACCTAGTCACGAACACACGTCATCTTTTTTGCGATTGTGATCTTAGGCTTTCCCTGTAACCACTACGGACAACGGCCATGTGTGTTTGCTTGGGGTTCAGTTCTAGAAAAGGGTAGAGTGCAGAGGGAGTCAGCGGAACCCTGTGATGGTGCCAACACCTGGCAAGTTACTGCCTCATTGTGAAATCACAACATTGGCCTTGTTGATAAATACGGTGTGCAGAGCAGGAAGCGACTGGGCACAGGGATTGTGTCCCCGCTTTTACTCTTTTTATTTAAACCTTTAAAATACAAAACGACATGTACACAGATTCAAATCTTCCCTCCTCCACAGATTCACGAGGCTCACAGGGGCTGAGATACTGTACAATGTGACATTCTAGCTGTGTGCTCAACTAGGTGGCAGTTCAGGTCTGCACACGATTCCTTCAAGGAAGGGAATTTAAAGAAGGTCTGTCTCAAACCCCATCCTAGTGTTGAGCATAGCCGGCTTCCCATTCCCTGAGCATGTTTTATGTGAGAGCATGTTTTATGTGAGTGACAGGCAGTAAGCACTGTAACTGGTGACTGGCCTGCTTTTCAGTGCATGGATGAAGAGGAGCTAATGAACGCCATCAAGGGCTTCAGCTCAGTGACCAAGGAACACACCACCTTCACCGACACCCACCTGTGAGGAATGGAAGAATGTGCCCTGCGTTTTCCAGTTACCTTAACATGTCATAGAAGCGCAAAAAATAAGAATAAAGAAACATTAAAGTTTTTTTCCTAATAGAGACCTAAGAAATATTTTTTTCCCTCTGGCTGTCTCAAATAAGGAATTCTAGACACGTGTACATGCTTGTGCTGCCTTGCTGATTTTGTGGACGACAAAGTATGCAGCTCTCTAGGTTCTGCCAGTGACGCTGACGGTCAAGATGGCTCACACTTGTTTTCAGTAATGAGAAGTTGCTAGTTTCAAACCAAGTCTGCTAGGAGGAGGACGAGATCCTAGGAGGATGACTCTCTCTAGGCAGCACCTGCACCTGTGCTCACAGCTCCACAGGCTGTTCCTGAGGACGAGGCTCATGCACGCAAGTGGGCCTGTTACAGCTGGAACCTTCGCTTGAACTAAAACCTGTGAGATCGTCAATCAATCTGCTGTTCCTGGAAAACAACGTAAGAAACCCTCCTTTCCTTCAGTCTTAAAAGTTCCAGGAAATTTTTCTGAGTTTATGTGACAGTATCTTGCGGACCTTTACGAGGGACTAACTCACTTATTTTGCTTAAAAGCCACGATTTACTCCCATGATCCAACATTCTAAGGCTGGACTTCTGGAGTGATGAACTGTCATCCAAACTGTGGCACGTAGCTCCTGTCAAAGCATAGAGCATGATTAAACAGCTCCACAACATGTCACAGGGACTCCACAGTGGCTATACACATCTTAGCGTGCATTTTCCTGTCTTGACAAGATCTATACCTTTTGAAATGGTAAGATAACTGGCCAGTCTTTAGGTTACAGGCAAAGGGGCCTGCCTCTCATGGCAGCGGGTAGGTGCTATAGTGTTGAATTGAACCAGGACCACAAGGTCCAACATCTAGGCAGCATTTTTCTGTTTAGGAACAAATCATTAGTGAGAAATAACTGTCTAAACGACACCTCCTGAGAACTAAGCCTAATGTCTAGGGAGTGTGACCCCTGGGGGTGTGAAGAAAACATAGCAATCATTTTACTCTTTGGTGATTCTTGCCTGCTGTGTGTGTAGAACCGTGACGGCAGCCAAAGTTAATCACTTCTTTTTTAACTGTAAGGGCCAATTGAGTGTCTGGTCCTCAGAGGTCACTGGGGCTTGACAGGAACCTCCGGCTCCTCCGGCCTTTCCTTTACCAGTTGTCCTACCTGTGTGAGAGCCGGTCACAAGCCTTGCTTGACCATGGCGCCATTGGGAAAGTGGAGGAAGTTCCCCTCTGTTGGCATGCCTCTCTGTAGACTGAACACTGGTTAGAGCTGACCGGATGGCTTCTCCATAGCCTCCCTGAACAAGACAACGGGTGATCCCCCACAGCTATGCCTCTGAGGTCCCTGGGATGTAGCTGACCTTGAGGGGAAAACAGGAAATGCCCTCTCTTTCAAATCCTCTGACCACATCAGTCTCCCAAGTATGGTTCCTGGATACTTAGATGTAGCAGAGTGATGTCACTGGCCTTCTAACTGCATACTACGTATATAAAGATGGAAGAAAACCAAACACTTACTCTTTGTTTAGATATGATTTTGCTCTTTAAGCCGGTCCTTGTAATTGCTACAGAGTAGATCAATAACGCCATTGACTTAAGCAGAAGTTTGATATCAATGTACTGAACTCTGACCTGTCACATACCTTATATAACTCGCCCAGACCCTGTAACTTGCTTTCTTATGACAGTGAATGAACAAACCTACCTGTGACGATCTTTGCAAGTTGGCTTGGCTGATGCCATGGCAGCTGTCAGGCTTCAAACAGTGCTGTGCAATAGCGCCTCAATAAAAGAAAACTGACTCCAAACCACATCTGTGTAACTTAATACCACCTGTGTACACAGGGCTCCACAGAGGGGCTTGGTGAGTTCCCAGGTAAACCTTACAGAAAACCAGCAACGGTGAGCAACAGATAAAACTGTGGTGCTGTTTGCCTTCTCATGAGCTGCTCTACTTTTATCAAGAGATAATGAGTCACGATGGCAGGGAGAAACAGCCAGAGGGCCAGTCTGATTCTGGAAATGCCTGGGTCTGACATCTCCAGAGCCTGCTTCTCCCGGGGCTCCAACAGCACACGAGCATTTAATACACACACAAGGCATTCATTTGCTCTTCTATAAAACCAACACAGTGGTTTACAATAAACAGACTTACTGTTGAGTCCACTGACAACTGGCTGGACCCCAAATACCTGTCCATATGAACCAGTAGAGACTGGTTCAGACGAGTCTCGTCACCTACTGGGTCATGCAGTGGGGAACAGGATGAATGGACACAGAAAACATTTTCTCTCCTTTTGGAGCCTTTAAACTTTCTAAAACCCTGGGTGGGCACTGGAGCACCCACGATCAGGCAGGATCGAGCTATGCTGCCTTTCCCAATGGTCTACCCTGAGACTCTTCCCAGTTAGACTGAGGGGCAACTGCTTAGCCTCTAGCCACAATCAGTTCCCGGATGTTTGCAAATGGAAGCAGACAACTTGAAAAACTCAATACCCCATTTTTCGGTTCTTCTAATGAGTAGGCTCTCTGAACAAAGGCGGGTGTGAACTCTCCCATCGTCTCGTTCAAGGGAAACATCCCAGAATAAACTGGGGCCAAAACTAGCCAAAAACAAAACAAAAGCAAAAAACCAGCAACAACATCAAAAATAAGGTTTTTTTCTGAGTGTCTTAAGAGTCTAGTCTAGTCCAGCGCTACAGGAAGCGGTCGGGTGGACGAGGAGGGAATACGGCACCCATTTGTTCTTCTGCACTGAGACAGGAGGAAAGTCGGGAAAGGTCAGGGTCCCCCTTTCTCTGCTACCTTTCTCCTAGAGGCCTCAACTGGAGTTTTAGGCACTCTCTGCCTCAAATCAGAGCAAGGTTGGCACCACTTTCTCTGCCCTGCGGGAAAACAAGACCAGGTACTAGAGTGGCTCCCAGGGGCACCCACTGGCAGTAGGAGCACGATACATCCTGGCACATGAGCTAGCTTGTTGGAGCCCACTCCCTACGGTGGGATGGATGCCACCATCAGTCTTGGTGCACGGGAGAGGGGCCGGCCCTGCTGCAACTTACTGAACTCTATCGACTCCTTATGGGAGCCCTAACCTGTGAGGAGGAAAGAGCTGGGGGTGGGTTAGAGGGAGGTGAGGGAGGGTGGGAGGAGGTGGGGAAGGGGATGGGAGGAGGTGGGGGAGGGGATGGGAGGAGGTGGGGGAGGGTGGGAGGAGGTGGGGGAGGGTGGGAGGAGGTGGGGGGGAGGGTGGCAAGAGGCAAAGGGGATGGAAGGAGGTGGGGTAGGAAGGGGAGGGAAGAAGAGCTGTAGTTGAAATGTTAAATGAAATAAAAAAATGAAAAATGGAAAACAAAAAAGGCCCAAAAAGTTCAACAAACTTCTTGTCCAGCCAGCCCATGCCCAGGTACCTGTATTCAGCTAAAAGTTTGATGACCCAAGTGACATTCTCCATGCATATCCAGTGAGGAATTAGCATTCTTCCACTACTATTCACCAGGAATATGATCAATGATTATCAATATTATTATTATTGTGGTCCAGCACTTGTGCTTCTTGGTACAGGAATGGCAGCAGAACCCCCACCACCCTACCTTCCCCGTCTCCAGGTGGAGGTGAGAACTAACTGGGGCTTCTGACCTTGCTGGTGCTGCTGTGCAGAGTCCCATTGCAGGAAGGGGACCCGCCGAGTCCTCCTGATTTTCAGCCAGGTGTAAGTGCTTAGATGTCATCTCAAATCTGGATGAGCACCCCAGGACATGTAATGGGGTACTGGTTCTTGACTAGGGGATCGCTGAGCACTTTCCCAGGGCTGGACAAAGAATTCAACATCTAGGAAAGGCAGGAGATCCAGCTGCCAAGAAAGCAAAAGGAACAGCTTTCACCCTTCAGGTTGAGGGGGACCCAAAGTCTGGGAGTCTGCTGAAGGGAAAGCAGGTTGTATTTTATAGGGCTGTTGGGTCCTCCCTTCCCCAACTGTCCTGCTTAGACAGCCTTCCTTACGCCTTCCCACCATCTCTCCCCCATAGTCTTCTGGGAGCAGGACACTATCTCAGAAGACTGTTGCCTTCCCGTCTTCCTAGGCTCCTCTAACTCTCCCTCAACATGAACTACACACATAAAGAACCTAAGTGTTTGGCAATCTGTGAGAGTACTCCATGCTACTCTAAGCACTCATGCTGGCATCTACTTGAAAACACTACAGCCAGTGAGAAAAGCAAGGGGCAGGGAGATAATGCAGCAAAGATAGTGTGAATAGATGTTTCAATATGAGCTAAGTTTAATATACTTATCAAAGAATATTCTAGCAATCCCGAGTGACACATAAAAAAATGATCGAGGCATACCGATTGAGAAACCGGTGTGCCGAGCATGTTCTGGTCCAATGCATGCTAAAAATCAACTGTGATTCCCTTCCCAAGATGAGTCCACTAACACTCAAATTCACCAAGGCTGGAATGGGGCTAGGAAACTACGTTTACCGCCAGGCAATCCTGATGAGGAAGTCAAGAAGGACAGAGGTTCTTAAACAGAAGACTCGGTTCAAAAGTTGGCTGAGCCACTGGCTAGGTTTTACCCTCTGTGATCTGCGACTTCACTATGAGGTGACAACAGTGCTTACCCACTCAAAACGGCTTGCACTGTTTTCCCATGGAATACAGGTATGTTCCATTACTGTCCTTTAGTCGACCTGGCAATGTGGGCACAGCGATCTAGACAAAGGGAGTCCAGCTCTGCTGTAGACGGATGACACGAGGCTAGACCTGCAAAATGCTGCAATCCATGCTTGGATCAAGTAAATACTTCATGTTTTGGAGACAGAGGCTCATGATGTAGTCCAGGCTGGCCTCCAGTTGCCAGGATGGAGTTAAGGTTCACATCACCTATGAGATTTTAGTCCCAAGCACCTTGCCCTGTCTCTAATGGTCTTCTTACATGATAAATATGACGTTTCTTTTTACACACACACACACACACACACACACACACACACACACACACACACACACACACGGGTACAGCTGAAACAGAGTAATGCTCCCTAAATAACTGAAGACACACTGCCTGACCGTTCTCATTCCATTTAATTGACAAATAAATACAAGGGAGTTTTTGTGAAATCACTGACAATATAGTTAATTTTAAAGAATTTTTCCAACTTCATTGTACTTCTGGGAGTGGAAATTATACATCATTCACTGGCAAATGCTCATGGGTTTAAATTTACATTTTCTCCATTGCAGAAATGTGTAAACCATCCAGATTAAATGAAGAAAATGTAAAGAAACTTTTCTTTTGCCCTCAGAGTTCAAAATAAAGTCAGAACAACAGTTTTACATACGGAAGCATTAGCTCCAAATCTAGAATCCCAGTCCACAGTTACCCTAAAGGAGGGCGGGCCAGCAATGGAAGGCTGCCCTTCTACACACAGCTATCCTCTCTGTTGTTAGTATCTTACCCAGACAAACATGGACAGTTGTTCCCACTGGACAGACTTCAGGTATCAAACACTGGTGTGCATGCTGCATTAGCTCCAACAAGAATCAGAAACTGACCACAATGAACTAAAACAACCCTAAAGATGTAGTGCACAGAGGAGCCCGGGGCCCACTGGTAGTGTTCTGAGTTACATGAGACTGTTTCACGACATAGCACCTCATCAGGTATCAGGTAAACACTTCGCAATCACAAGGGTGGGTGGGGAGCCACATTCCAGGGAGAGTCTGTGATCGATGCTGAGGTACCACTGCAAGGCAAGCCCTGGGCAGCGGGATGAGGATCACATGCCTCACATGCTCTAGGGGGCTGGGACAACAAACCAGGAGGGATGGTTCCCATGTGCCTGCAGGAGCAGGGTCACTTCCACTGTCAAGGAACACACCACTGCACCCCCTTAGAGTGTGCTCTGCTCCTGCCCCAGGAAACACTAATCAGGCGAGGTTGTATCCTATAAAGTCTTGATGTAAAAGCCAATGTACTCTTCACCCAGGGAATTTTGTTTTTCATGTAAATCTATCAAAATTATCGTGCACCGTGGTTGAGTTCACAAGCTGTACTCTTGGCCCGAGGAATCAGTCTTTTTGTGCCGGGGTGACGGAGTGGTCTTCGTTGGAGACGGGGAAGCCGTACCAGGAGAGTCGGTCCCTCCATCAGAGGTGCTCGGTGAGGATGCCAGGTGGGGAGCCTTCTTTCTGCCAAGGAATCCCCCTGCTTCAAATCCTTTCTTGCGCAACTCCACTTTATGCTCAGCCTCGTCCTCTGACGACCTTTTCTTGGACTCTGACAACCCGTCGGCTGTTTTCTGCACTTCTAAGCTGCCATCTGACTCCTTCACACACCTCAGCTCTGTCCCTGTCCCGGGGGACTTCCTTTCAGACGCACTGCACTCCCCCGCTGCCCCTTTCACGTCTGCCTGTGTTGGACCCATGTGACCATGTTCCGGAAGGGCTCTCTCTACATCTCTGCTGAGATTGAGAGTCTGGAAGTCCCTGTAGCTGTGGAAACTCTCAGTCCTCCTGGCTCTGGCTAACAAAGGACTCTCTCGGTAGGGCCGCGCGGCACCGTAAGTGGCTGCCTCATGGATGGTCTCATGGTGCTGGAGCTGAAGGCTGGAAGACAGACGTAAAATGACAAGTTGTGATTTTACTTCAGGTCTCAGGATCGCATCTCAGCAATGAAACTGCCAACTAAAGCACCGTAAAAACACAGAAGGCATATTCCTATCCACACCTCTATCAGAATGTATTTGTCAAGCAGCCCATATTACATATAATTATCAATGTAAGCAGTACTATACACATATATTCACAATCAAGCAGGTATTTTGAATACCAGGGAAATAAAACCAATAAGGAATCAATGTATTCAATATTTGGTCCTTGGATTCTCAGAATTTGAAAGTGTCATGTGGTTGGAAATGATAAAGTATTTGATTAAGTACACAATACCTTCTATGAAATTAGACAAGATAACCACTTTTGATTCGTACTGAACCTGAGCAATACGAAGAAAAACTCCACAAAATAGCCAGTTGATATGTGATCTTCCTAATTCAGGTGAGCATGGCTGTCACTTGACTCTGCCTAGGATGAGCTATAATCCAGAGACGGGGCACACCTGTGATGCAGATCCGAGGGGAGGCCCACCTTCTGCTGAAGCCTACATAAGGACAATGGCAGCAGGAAGGGCTTGTTGTGTGCCTGCTTGCCCTCTCTGTCAGCACATCCATTCCTTCACTGGCATTGGTGCCTCCGCCTCTGGGACTCCAACATACACAGAAGACCAGCTGAGACACACAGCCTTGCACTGAGCAGCCCCTAGATTCTTGGACTTTCCATTCAGATAGCCATTGTTGGGCTTCAGCCGGTAAGTCATCCCAATAAATTCCCTCACATGTAGAGAGAGATCATATATCTATATCTACACGGCACACGCACGCACACACAGAGATTTGTTTGGTGAGTCTAGAGAACCCTAATATAGTGAGTTCCTGCTCACACAGTAGCATTCCTATTGCAGCTGACAGTCATTTCCTACGGTGGTTGGAAGGATAAATGATCCCCAGTGTCAGGTGTTTGGACACTTGGTGCCCAGTTGGTGGTGCTGTTTGTGAGGGCTTAGGAGCTGTGGTCATGCTGGGGGAAGTGCGTCACTGGGGCCGGGCATTGGGGACTTAAAGCCTTGCACCATTTCCAGCTCATTTTCTCTGCCTCGTGCACAGGACGTGAGCCTTCAGCCTCCTGCTCCAGTCACCGTGGCTACTGCCTGCTACCACGCTTCCACAGACAGTTAAACAGCAGAGCGGGGTAAGGGTCAGGCTCAGTGGTTAAGAGCATAGTTGGCATGTACTAAGTCCAGGGGTCAATCACAGCACACGCCACATACACGAAAGATCACAATAATTTCTTTCCTTGCACTTTATACATGTATGAAACTGTCAAAGAGTCAATGAGAGTTTAAAATGTTTTCCTATGAAAAGAACGTGCTATGTAGACAAATAAAAATGTATTAATATTTGAACAACCTGACTTCAAACTGTACTTTGAAAATCACAGCTCTTACTACTGGGTGCTGTGCAGCACCACTGTCCCCAGAGACCACGTGGACTGGAATGCACTACTGTCTCCTCTGGCCCACCTGGAGCTGGACTCTCGGAGGCGGCTGTGCTGGAGCACGGACGTGGCAGGACTGATGTTGGGGGTAGCGCAGCGGGATGTGCTCAGGTCGCACTGGTCCAACAGCTTGAGCAGCTCTTCCTCAGTGGGGCCGCCAGCATCTTAGGAGAAAAGGGTCATTAAAATCCAAGGTCAAAGGTCAGCTTGTGGCAAACACCCTACTGTGTGGCTGGTTACCTACCCCTGTCCTCGCTCTTGTTGACCATATCCATGGCCGTGGTCAGATCCCACATCTGGATGCTGCCGTTTGTGTGGCCTGTGAACAAGTAGCGCCTGGGCCGCGAGCCCATCCTGCTGGAGCCCTCACACTCCCTCACGGTGAACGACGATATAGTAGTGCAGTCAACAGCCTGGATCTCACAGATCCTGAAAAGACGGTGGTTGTAGACTGAAGGAATCAACTCTACACATTGTATCACTGAAACGTTCCATTAAGTTCTTATTTCAGAGTCACGCAAATGAACATGTATCTAAAATAGTTTTAAAATGGTCAAAGAGAGTTGACAGAAAATCAAGTCTTGTTTTTCTGAATGAGAAAAACTTGTTCTCAACTGAAAGGGAGATGATTTAGTCACAGAAGCCATCTTGGGAATGAGGAAGTCTTCAGAAGGAAGATGTGAGAAAATAAAGAAAAAGAAAATGGGGACGGAGGGAGGAGGAGGAATGAAGACAAAATACAGCGATGTTGACTACTAGGAATTTTGCTTGCTCACTTGCCTAGCAGGCAAAAAACAAACAGCAAAACCAGGGACCACCACATTCAAAGTGAAACAGAATGAAAGAGGGGCTCATTTCCACAATGCCCACTGAGTCAGCCCCTGTTTGTGATGTTGCCATAAGGCGCACACTGCAGATGATGGAACCTTAATCAGTCAGGCAACCAATGAGGTCCCGTAAGCTGAATTTACATAGCTAATCAAGGGCAGCATCTGAACTTAGTACTTCTGTCTGCCATGAGAGCCACTGCGATCACCATGAAAATTAGATAAAAGTCATCTCTGAAGACAAAGGCAGAAAAAAGGAAGTGCCAAGAGTGCTCAGGACCAGAGTGGCCGCCTGTCTCACAAGCAGGGTCCAGGGAGACAGGCCACTCCAGGGAGAGTGACACAAATGTGAGCCGACACATGGCTGCTAATGGGGAGCTAGGGCGGTTACACAGGTCACATGGTCATCAGCCAAGGATGCCCTTACTTCTGTTCTAGACAGAGATGGTCAGGAAACCTGTAACTCCCATCTCAGAGACACAGTGTGCATATGACGTTTGTGCATGACGGGAAATGCTTCACCTCAAAGGTTTCTCTGCTCTGTTTTGTTCTTTATATGGTGCTCTTAGTCTGTTACATCCAGAGTCGGTGAGGATTCTAGGCGAGTTTTACCTTCCTAGTACTTAACTAGCACAGATCTCCCCATGAGTTTCTACTGCATTCTTCTAGCTCTAACAAACTGCCCCTGAATGCTAGGAGACAGGCAATTTCTGAAGATACAAGTCGTTCTGTGAAGTGCTACCTTTTTCCAGTTGACGACAGCCTGACAAACAGCTTGTTAGTGATGGGAACAACTTTCTGGATAAACACCTGTTGATCATCTCGTTCTCCAAAAGGCCCTGTGTCAGAAAACAGAAAGGTCAGATGGGAAGGAGAAATGGTTTCATTTATAAAAGCACACTAATACTAACACTCCTCTCCTCAAACAACCGTCAGCCCCTAAATCAATGCCATATACAAGCAAAACAGCAAAAGTATGTCAATCCACATTAAATTTTATAATATAAATACATAATACTTGTTTTTTTAAGTATTTCTGTGTGTGCGCAAGTGTATCTGTGTGTGAATGTGAGTGTTATCTATATTTGTGTGTCGGAGTGTGACTATATGTGTGTAGGAGTGTGTTGGTGTGTGTCTGTGTTTGTGTGGGACTGTGTCTGTGTGAGTGTGTCCGTGTGTGTCTGTATGTGTGTGAGTGTGTCTGTGTGTGTCTATGTGGGAGTGTGTAGGTACGTGTGTGTACATGTGTTTGAGTGTGTTGGTGTGTGTCTGTATGTATGTGGGAGTGTCTGTGTGTGTTGGAGTATGTCTCTGTGTGTGTGCATGTGTGGGAATGTGTTGATGCATGTGTATGTGTCTGTATATTAGTGTGACTGTGTGTCTATATGTGTATGTGAGTGTGTTGGGTATGTGTGTACGTGTGGGAGTGTGTTGGTATGCGTTGGAGTGTCTGTGTGTGTGTGTATGTGTGTTTGAGTGTGTCTGTGTGTGTCAGACTGTGCCAGTGTGTATCTGTATGTGTGTGGGAGTGTGTCGGTGTGTGTGTCAGTGTGTGTGTGTGTGGAAGTGTGTTAGGGTGTGTCTGTGAGTTAGTGTGTCACATGTGGGTACAAGCCTACAGAGGCCAGAGGAGGGCACTGGATCCTGAGGAGCTGCCGTGTGTGCATGCTGGGAACTGAATTCACGTCTTCTGGAAGAGCAGGGAGTCCTCTCAACTCTTAAGCCATCTCTTCAGTCCCACAATATGGCACAACTGTATTTTATGCATTAAAGACTTACAAGCTGAGGGGGATCACTCCTCAAGGATCTGCAGTATCAGTACCAGACAGTTCCTTTGAGAATGTGCTTAGATTCTGACACTTAGAAAAAGGCTTGGGAGTGTGGACTCCATACCTAGCTCCAAAAGGGGCAAGAGGAGGTATAAACTGAATCACTTCATATAATCCCTACTAATGCTTTGAAAGCCTACATGCAAAAATTTACCATCTTCTGAAGATTAACTTCAGTAAATAGAAGGTAATGGTGCTGGTGCTAAAGGCACTTGTCACCAAGCTTGATGACCTGAGTATGATTCCCAGCACCACGTAGCAGGGGAGAACTGACCCCAGCGCGCGTGCGCGCGAACACACACACACACACACACACACACACACACACACACGCACGCACGCACGCACGCACGCACAGACAAAATGCAACAAAATGTGTTAAAAGAATTTAAGTCATCAGAAGCCCCCATCAGTCACACTGCTCCTTCAATGTTTGCATTTTCTTAAGACACAAAGTAAACAGAAGCAACTTTGTGTGAGATTCAGAGAAAACCACCGGCAGCTGCCACTGAACAAGCTCTCCCCAGCACAGGGCGCACAGCAGCAACATCGTCCAGAGCTCCTGGATGACTAATTCTTCAGTTTGGAGTGTTTTCACTTTTGTAATTTTCACATCCATCATGAAACACCTTGAGGACAGGACATCAGTCTAAACAAATACCTAACAGGATGAAGGGAACCAAGTTTCACAGTGCAGAATTTTCCACTTTTCACACAGGGCTCAAAGAGTTTTAGGTGACTGGGATGTGGACACTCAGCCGATTTGGGGCTACGCTCAAAGGTTTTCAATATAAAAAAGAAAGACTGGCGGGAGATGGCTCAGAGGTTAAATAAGAAAGCGCTGGCTGCTCTTGTAGAGGACCTGGTTCAGTTCCCAGTGCCCACATGGTGGCCCCACAACCACACGTAACCCTAGCCCGGGGGACCAACTGCCCTTGTCTGTCATCCAACATGTTGTACATAAATATATGTGGGCAAACACTCATATATACATATAAGATAAAAACACATCCTTTTAAAAAACTGATGCAATTATTTCCCCTCCATTATACTGGGCAAGGCTGGGAATACGAGCCAAACTATAAAAGAATCTCCTACCTTGAGAAACTGGGGAATTTAATAATTCTTCTTTATTGCGCTCATTAACAGAAGCTTTTTCATAAAGGGATGTGGCACGCGACACACTCCACAGAACACGCTCTGTGCTGTTGCTGACATGCTGGGGAAGCATGCTGACACCCAGTTACATCCCCGCCTTCAGCTCACATGCATGGGCACACCACTCACAAAAGAGCAGTGGCACCGTCATCGCCGGCTTCCTAGATGCTACATAAGGAGAGCACCACCATCGCCCCATTTTACACACGACCAGTACACACACTGAGACTCAGGCTAACCACAGCCCTGCTGCTGAGAGCAGAGTACCACGAAATGTACATGCTGGCCAAAGAACTCCAATTCCATAACAACACTGACTCTTTGCCCAGCTTCAGTTTTACTCTCAATCACCGTTAAAAACAAAAGAAAAAAATGTAAAGTTTCAGTTATGCACAGCAATCAATCCCAGGTATAGTTACAAACAAAACTAGCTGGTTAGCATTTGGAGAGAACCACATTTAAAGGAGGAAATGCTAATAAGAGAAAACTGTTTATCTGAACTTTTTAAATGACAAAAATGTTTCAATGATGCAATGCTGTGAATTCACAGAACTAATAAGAAAACTACACGGTTGGGAGGACGGCTGCATCAGTGAGGCACACAGACCTGGGCTCAAGTCCTAGAGTCCACAGCAAAGAAGTCAGGCCGGTGCCGTGTGTGTGAAATCCACGATGGAGGCAGAGACAGGCAGATCCTTGGAGCTCATTGACCAGCTAGTCTAGACTGCCTGGTGAATGCCAGGCCAGTAAAGACCCTGTGTCAGCATCATTCTGAGGTTGTCCTACAGCCTGCACCCACACCCACAGACACACACAGACACACACACACACACACACACACAGTGCATTTATATTTTAGTTACATTAAAATGTAAAATTCCCATGATCCCCGAGTCCTGGATCTCCCTCTTTGAAGATGCCTACCTATGTCATTTCCAGAGGAATAGCTGCCATGGCTTTCCGTCTCCTCCAAGGATAGGATCTTGAACGACGCTAAAGGGGTGGAGCCGGGCTGAGTGGAGATCATCCCTCTGAACCGCGTCACTGTCCACGTGCGGACATGGTTGTTGTCGGCACACACTAGGAAAGAACTCAGAGTGTCACCACGTCACTCTGAAACACTTCACCCTCTTCATCAAGCAGACCACGGCACACTCTAAAAGGCACATGGCATTCATCTTAAAACTGAACTCAATTGTGTCCCGTTAACCAGAGCGAGACAACTGGGGTTGGGAAGATGACTCAGACACTTGCCACCAAGCTTGGTGGCCCGAGTTCCCTCTCGGGAGGGAACCCACATGGTCAAAGGTGAGAACTGACTCCTGCAAGGGGACCTCGGACCTGCACACGCGGGCTGTGGCATGTGCAAAACACATACTCGCATGCACACAAGACCAATAAATGAATCTAACAGTAATAGTAAAGCTTTGAAGAGAGAACCTAGGGATTCTCTTGCTGCAACATGAAGGCATTTAGTAAGTCCTGGGGTCCTCTAAGGCAGCAGGAGGCAGGTGTGGAGGGAGGTCTGGCACCACCCAGTCTGGGATACACAGTAAGTGCAGGCCAGCAAGACTGCGCTTAAACAAACAATGAAAGCAATGCAAAAGCTGGTAAGACATCAACGTAGACAAGATTTTAAATTAGAGAGAAAGGTTTTATGTCACTCAGACACTAACCAGCCTAAGCCAGGAATGGCTGAACACTGGTGACGAGCACTTTTCAAATATCTCATAGAAATCAGTTGTTTATTACTCATTAACAGACACATTTGTCTATACTAGAGCTAGGCATTGTTTCTATTAAAAAGTATCTATCAATATACATATTCCAATTAGGCTTCAAAATATTTTAATTAAACCTTTTGATGATTATTATCATCATCATCATTATTTGCATTTGTTTGGGAGGGGACAGCAATGAGACAGGGCCTTTCCATGTAGCCCTTGCTATTCTGGAACTTACCATGCAGAGTTACTGGCCTAGAACTTACAGACATCCAACTACTTCTGCCTTCCAAGTTCTGGGATTAAAGGTATGTGCCACAACATGTGGCTAAATTTTTTTAATGTGAATGTCTGTCATGTCATGTGTGTCTACCCTCAGAGACCAGGGTGTGTCAAGTCCCCTGGAGCTGCAGTTATGGGCAGTTATGAGCTACCAGATATGGGTGCTGGGAGCAAACTGGAGTCCTCTGGAAGAGCACAGCATTCCTCAGCACAGAGCCCTCTCCACAGCCCCAGGAGTATGTAATCTCTGACTAGGAGTACATATGGGCAGCTCTTCCTACCCTCTCTACACATCCTTGTTCTAAGTGGGCATGCTTGTTACAAAGACAGACCCCAAAACATGAGAGCATTCAGGCAGGAAGTGCACTTTCTAGCTTGGTTTAACAAGAAAACAAAACCCTAACTTGCCATTTGTAATGGTTTTAGAGAACATCTGTAGATGCTAGAAATGCAGAGCTTGTTCTTGCAGATTTTTGTTTTAAAGCAAACTTTACAAAGCACTCTGGGAACACAACGCTAACCATTCTCCGAGCCGGCTCCATAGGGGAGTTCTGGAGGCAGAGGTGTTTACCAGTCTCGTGGGAAATGCCCCTGACGTAAGCACGCTCACTGAGACTGAGAAGACAAACACTGGAGCAATCCTGGATGGTTCAAGTGTCCGTGACAGAACCTTGTTTCTACACCAGCCAGTGAACCTCATGTCAGACATTCATTAGTAAACTACAGGAGCAGGAGCACACGCTGCATTTATGCCAGTAGCCACCAGGGGGCAGAAAGGCTAAGAACACAGAACACATGCTTAAGCTGAGAGGTTTTTCTTGACAAACTTACTTATCCAGACCTACATGTAACATTCTATGCTGAAATATCAATTACTTTAGGCACTGCTTTGGTATCACACCCTACACTAACACAGCCACCAATGACAGTCATGAAAATCTCAAAGCACTGCTGTTTAACCTGCATGGCACAGCTAAGAGCTTAAAGTGCCCTGAGATCACACTGTACACAGCATTTCCAGCACCTACACTTGAGTGCTGAGAGGAGAGAGGTGAACACAGCTACTGAAGCTGGAGAGGAGACAGATGGCAGACACACAAGTAACAGGCACACGGTAAGCTGTGAAGAACACAGGAGACTCTAGCAGACAGGGTAAGTTTTACACGGACGGGGAGACCCTACGGAGGAAGTGTGAGAGTCTGAAGGACAGACAGGAAGTGTGTGAGAGTCTGAAGGACAGACAGGAAGTGTGTGAGAGTCTGAAGGACAGACAGGAAGTGTGTGAGAGTCTGAAGGACAGACAGGAAGTGTGTGAGAGTCTGAAGGACAGACAGGAAGTGTGTGAGAGTCTGAAGGACAGACAGGAAGTGTGTGAGAGTCTGAAGGACAGACAGAAGTGTGTGAGAGTCTGAAGGACAGACAGAAAGTGTGTGAGAGTCTGAAGGACAGACAGGAAGTGTGTGAGAGTCTGAAGGACAGACAGAAAGTGTGTGAGAGTCTGAAGGACAGACAGGAAGTGTGTGTGAGAGTGAGAAGGACAGACAGGAAGTGTGTGAGAGTGGGAAAGACAGTACAACCAAACTAGTATGGGGAAACCTAAACATGTCAACAAAATGAGTAAGAGCAAAAAAATTCAAGGCATTTTTACAAAACAGAAAAGCCAATAGCTTAAGAGTCTCAGGATCCAAAGAGACTAGGTTGGCACTAGGATGAAATTTAGAACGTAAAGAAATCTACAATACAAACTACACATTAATTTTAGATAGACTACGAAGGCCAGTAGGAGTCAGACCTAGATTGTGTTGCTACAGGGCCCGGGATGAGCTGGCCAGTACCTGCAGTAACCCAGGGGGAAAATGACTTGACTCACTAGGGTAAGGAATTGGGAGAAATCAGTTATGCAACACACGTGGCAGCGATTACCACTCACTGCTGGATTGCATGCATTCAGGGTAAAAGCAAAGGGGAGCCCAGGGGAACCCCTACATTTTGAGTGTAAGTACGTAGATGGTGATGCTGTACATTATGGTGGCTTCCTAGGAAACTCTACTTTGTCCAGGCTTGATTTGGGATGCCTGCTGCACACAACACGAGACACAGAGCAGGACGGAGTCGTTTTCAATTCTCTACACAGTGACAGAGGGGAAAAGTCAGAGCGCGACTGGCATGTATGGTACTGACAGCAGTCAGATCCCAGGGATCACACAAAGAACAGAGGTTAAAGCACTCCCAGATGAACAGGAAGCAGCAAGAGAAGTGGGGACAGGATTGGATGGTGTCAGGAGAGCGCTGCTTCACAGGAGCACACAGGTGCTAGAGGCGTCTGGGGGCCAATGGGGTCCCTGACAGAGGTTAAGCTATGCAGGCACTCACTCGGGGGAACAGTGAGGGACCCAAAATCTTAGAAATGTTCAGATACATGCAGCCAACAAATGGAAATGATCCCTCCACGGAGGGCAGGCTACAGAGAGGACAGGCTCCCCAAGAGCGAGACGGCAGACGACTCAGCTGAAATTTCACCAAACCTGGAAATCATGCAGGAATTCCTTGCATGAGTTTCTTCAATGGAATTTATTTTGCTAAAAGAAAGTGGCCCTCATGAAGCTTTAAGATTAGCATGTAATATTTTATTTACTTCATTACCTAAATATTTAAAGTTGTGATTATTGGGAACTATAAACCCACAAAATGTTACTTCAAATAATTTTATATACTGTTATGAATTTTTAACATTTTACAAGGTAATTAACTATCAAAATATGCATCTAAGGCTACAACTTCAGCTTAAAACTGAAGACAACCAAATAAAATTATATTGATGTTCAAACTTAGAAAATATTGGAACAGAAGTCTTCTCAGCAGTGATTGATACACATCTTGAGAGGAAATTTGCCATGAGAAGGAAGTACCAGAGAATAAGCAGAGATATGATGTTTCCTAAGTTTACGTGCAATACATCCAGGCCAAGGCAAAGCCACACCCCTCCAGTTATAAAGGCCCGGCACAAACCACTCCTCTTCCTGTCTACACAAAAGAAAACAGGCAGCACGAGGTGTCCCCGGAGTCCTACTGTACCTGACACCAGGTGCTTCTCGGACAGCATGATCTTCGTAACGGGGCTTCGGTGGACCGTGAAGGTCTGGAAGAGCTGCGGCCCTGACCCGACTGTCTCTGGGTGCTGGACAATCACTCTCACGGCTCCAGAGCTCGTACCGTACGCGATCTCAATCCAGTTTCCGCTGACACCTAGGAGCCACAGTGCAAAGGCCGAGTGTTATATGATGGCTAAAGAAAGCTGGATTGGAGGCCTCCGCGTGTGGCACAGGCAGAGTCGGAGCAGTGCATGCAGGTAGGTCCGTAGGGCCCTCTGCTCCTCGACAGAAACTGGATCAGCCTTCAGAACGCCCGAGACCCAGACTAACTCAGTACCGACGACTTAGAATGGTAATCGCCCTGCTGTGCCAGGCCCACCGTGGCCCAGCGCCCCACTGCAGCCTTCCTTCCGTAGGACTGGCAGCTGGGAGAGCTCCGGGCTTCGTACTGCTGCTGCAGCGCAGAGCCATCCCCGAGCAAGCAAGCGTCACCCACACGACAGCTGCACCACCACCAAGTGGACAGGCTCACCACCTGCAATGCTCAGCCACACTGCCAGCCATGACGCCTCCTCCAAGCCAACGCCTCACTGAGGTCTGCCTTTCTTTCCTTTCCTTCCTATTCTAGAAGTCTTGTTCTTACTTTGTGTATATGGCTGCTTCACCCGCATGCTTATCTGTGCACCAGCGACATGCCTGGTACCCCTGGAGCCACAAGAAGGTGTCAGCCCTCCTGGAACTGGGGTATAGACAGGTGATCTTAGTTCTAGGGACAAAACCTCAGTCCTCTGCAAGAGCAGCAAGTGCTGAGTCATCGTTCCTGCCCTGGTAGCTTTTCTTTCTTAAACAGGGGCCACATCCCACCACAAATCAAAAGACAGACAGGCACTGCTGGCCTGCAGTCTAACAAGCTTCACAGGTGGGAAACTGGGCGTTACTCCCATCCACCTAAAACCACCAGTCAGAGGGAGAGAGCGCAGAACAGAGGGGAGCACTCCAGCCGGTTCTCACACTTCCTAAGCTTGTCCACAGGAGGAAGGGCTTTGATTTCTAGAACTTTCCAAGTGTGACCTCTTACTGTGTGTTAGACTAGGGTGGGAATCCATACTTCATTCTGCTCATCCTGGAGCAGAGCTCAGCAAGCTTTCTCTAAAGGGACAAGCAGTAATTAGTGTTTTAAGTTCTGCTTTCCACATGTGTCACAACCTCTCAGCTCTCTTAGTGAAAGCAGCCAAGGACAGTGCACAGACCTACTGAAAAAAGAAAACAGGGAGGGAGGGAGGCAGGGAGGGGGCGAGCATGAGCAACAACCCATGGTTTTGTGGTCCCCGGTGAGAAAAGCACGACTTAAAGTGACTAAGCCGTCAGCCACTTGAGCACGCGCCATCACTCTAGTGCGGATGGCTGTCTTGTCTATCGAATTCAGTGAAGGATACCCTGCACAAGCATCACATCCGAGCACACGGTCTGTCCCCAGGCACACGTTAACATGTTAGGATTTCTCAGCACTCCTGCATTACAAGGCGTCTTCTAGAACAGTAAACTCATAAATAATCCCCGAGGCTGGCCGTGTACTGACTTGTTTTGGGGGTGAGGTAAACGCTCAGCGCAGTGATGGCATCATTCGAGGGGTCGTGATAGAGTTCAGTGACAAGGAGGTCGTTATCCTTCATCCGTAATGGGAACTTCTGCATGTCTGAAGACAAGAACACATGTGGTCAAACCACCGAGGGCGAGGTCGTGTCCTCACGTATAAAGCATGCTGGACGCTCACCTATGTAATATATTGATCCATTGTTGCATCCCAGGAGAAGGAAGGAGCCCGCAGTGTCGTAACTGGTTATAGGAACAACATCCTGCACCTGATGCAGTGACAGTATTACATGTTAGGAAGTATCCTCTTTTTTTAAAGTGATTTTTCATTTTAGATACCAACCCCAGCCCCCACTCCCTCTCCTTCTCACCCCCATCCACTCCTCAAAGCAGATAAGGCCTTCCTTGGAGAGTCAACAAAGTCTGATGCACCAAGTTGAGGCAGGACCAAGCCCCTCCGCCTGTATGAAGGCTGAGCAAGGTGTCCCACCAACGGGAATGGGCTCCAAAAGGCCAGTTCACGTCACTGGGAGAGGTCCTAGGGCCACTTTTCTAGTTTCTGCTCTAATTTCCTCAAAACACTTGGATCCTTCAGGTATTTAGGAAGGGTTAGATGATGAGCTGTCTGTAAGCCCCAGTGAACTGTCAGATAGCTGTGAAGACACATTCTAGCTGTGAAGACATGTTCTAGCTGTGAAGACATACAGCAACCCAAGCTCCCCAAGTCAGCTGCACCCCACGCTCTTGCTGCATGTGGTCACTGTGTCACAGCCCCGAAACGAGAAGGGCAAGGCAAACCTCACCCAATCTCCCTCAGATAAAATGAAGTGCCAAAGCCAGGTGGTGTGTAATCAGAGCTGGAGAGCAGCACAAGGGACATTCACAGTGCAGCCACCAGACAACCTGTCACAGTCTCTTCAAGTGGATAGTGTTCTGTTTTTACTGTGCTTACTGAGAAGTCTTGGGGGGAACGGACTTGCTTTCCAGGCGCTACAACTTAACAGCACCTCTTCAAAATCATCAGCCTGCTTTGCAAACAAGTAACTAAATCCAAGGACTGAAGTTACCACAAAAAGTAAGACCAGAAAACAAAAGAGTGGCAACTTCAGGAAACAGGACTAAATGTCTACCGCAGGCCAGAGAGTGTGGCTCAGTGTTGTGGTGTCCTGAGTTCAGAATGCCAAGACAGACGCCCAGCAGTTAACTCTGCACCGAGGAACCAGCCCTTCTTGTTTTCCAGCAAGGAGAAGATCTACGGTGTCCTCTTTATGCGTGCACTGTATGTACCTGCTACAGCCCATCTAAGGAAGCATGCACTCCGACAGAGGGAAAACCTCAATAATTCCAGTGTTGGGCAGGGAGGCAAGGTGTGTAGTATGACCACAGAGGAGGGAAAGGGGTAGCAGAGGTCAGGAGAGGAGCCAGAGAGCAGAAGGAGCCCACACCAAGGGAAGCGTCTTCCTAAACAGGAAGAGCAGGAGCCCGACATCCACTCTAGCTATGTGAACAGTTCCCCTAAGCTGTTGTCACGCAGGATCCTCTCTGCTCTGAGCGCATCTTTACAGTGTTAGTCACGAGCTGTACTGGGAAGTCTTGGAGACAGCGCCAGCATCTCAACCCAGGGTCAGGCCTCTCAGGGAACATGGAGCACCTCGCACGGCCTGTCACGACCCTACCCGAGCTTTTGAGCTGGACGTATGGCTGTCAGAGGAAAGGGGGCTTGTCTCCTCTCGCCCATGCCCTGGCCTCAGCACTGCCCCTCCCACACCTACACCAGGGTCTCCACAGGTCAGCCCCGGACCCTGTACCCTCTGGGGCCACCTTCTGCTCAGACTGGCAGTAGCCCGGAGCTTCCAAGGTTCATCTCAGGAAAATGCTGTCAGCTGGTCTGCAGGAAGACGCCCCCTCTTCCCCCCCAGGTCCAGCCTACTCTATAAGGCCACAGGAGTTCACTCTGGATCCCTGTGCACAAGGTCAGGGTCTCGTCCTCAAACCTCTACTGTTGAGTCATCACTGAAGCCACTGTAACCTTGAGTCTCCACCCCTCACAATGAACACACGAAACACTCTCCATCTTCTAAGAGGCTAAGTATATATACCACACAGTTGCTGTGCAGCGCACACATCCACAGAATTCTCGTGTTCTGATATGAGAATAAAACGTGTAATCAATCTTTGTTTCGATCTGTCTTTAAGTGTAAACTCTAAGAACTTGGGAATGATGCCTACACGGTGCTGTTTTCTGCCATGGTGCTGGGATGACAACTATTTGACAACATTAATGACCACTTTATTATCAACCCTTTGTAACGTCATGCTGTGTGGGCTGCAGAAGGGAGGGATTAAATTAACAGGGACTGAGGAATAAGGCCCCAGTCTTACCTCGACTAGACTGGTTTTTAGAACATTTCATCAGCATTTTATTAAGGCAGGGTTGAGATGCTGACAGAAAACTAGGAGGTTTACAATGTTTTCTAAGGTTACATGCAGATGTAAAGCTTAGTGATTAACAATTCAAATCCATCCTGACTGTACAATTAAAGCAAAGAACTCAGGGTTGCCCTGTGCACTTCCTCTGCTATTTGTGGCCAGAATGTTGCTCGAGGTCACCTCAGAACCTTGTCAACTAGTGCTGGCAGTCCAGGGGGCCAGCCTACAGTCAGAGCTGTCTATTAACATCTGCAGACAGGAGGCTGAGGCCACACAACAGATCATCTCTGAGATGCACTACGGGAAATCCAGCTGGGTGATAAAACTCATTTGCTATGGGGATGACAATTTTCCCAGGGCCTTTCCGAAATGTGCAACAAATCCTTATGTCAGATGTGGTTTTCAGCCATGCATGCACCAGGCACGAAGAATCGGGTGATACAGAGACAAAGCACCCAAGGCTAAGACCGGCAAGATGTGACCAGCTCGTCTGGATCTCAGAGTCTAGATCTCAGAGCCACGAAAACCTTTATGCATAGTTTTGACAACAGAGAGAGGCCAGAAGACAGCACAAGAGCGCTCCTTCCTTCCAGGTCACAGGACCGTGCTTCCGAGTGACCGACCACGTGGCTCTGCTGTAACACAGCTGACAAAGCGCAGCTCCGTACCTCAGTCTTCTGGTAGAGAGGAGCCCTGCCAGCTCCCCATCTCCAAGTTCCGCCTGTGTCAGGGCCTCTCCGTGCTCCTCGGCCTGTTCCATTCACACTGACACCCACTGCAATGCCTTTGCTCCACTCATCATCCTGTCTATGCAACCTGACGTCTGCATCTGCACTGAAATTCAAACCATTTTCCTAGACCATCACCCTTAAACTGAGGCTCATCCAGTGTCACCAGCTACCAGTTCCTCAGTCCTAAGATCTCAGGATGTTCCTCCAGAATCCCGTGTCAATCATGTCCCATCCCTCCCCAGTCTGTCACTTTTAAATCCACCCCTCCCCTCTGCAGAGTATCTCGTCATCTGGCTCTGCTTACTTGTATGCTATTTTCTATTCCTGACGCCCGCATGCCCACACACGTGCCCCTAGGGCTTGCTTTCATCAGTTTATATGCTGGGTTCATTCCAAGACCTGCAACATACCAAGACCCTGGTTGCACAAATACAACAGGACGTACCACTTGCAGGTCACATCCACTCCATCTTCTCTGGACCCCCTAGCACTTTCTAATATGAATGCTACCCAATCAGCTGGGATCCGTATTGTTTAGGGACAATAATAAAGAAGATGTCAATTCTGTTTTGGAACGCTCTCTGTCCAGCTGGCTGAACCTATGGGTATAAAATCCAGGGCTGTAGAAAGCTGGCCACATCTTCAAGTCAGTTCAACAAGAGATTAAACGGCCACCGTGGGAGAATGGCTCTGACCCCTCACAGCCAGCCCTTTCCTTTAAGTTATCAATCTGCCTACACTCCCTCGGTCCCCTAAGCCTCCCTCCCTTCCCAGAGCTTCCTTGTTACCTTGCTTTCCCCAACCCTGCCATCATTATCCTTTCTCAGCCCTTGGTCGCTGCAGTCACCTACCCGAAGCCCCCTGCTTGATATCACGTCAGCTCTGTTCCTCCTTTTCCCTTACCCCTGTCCCAGTTCTCTGTGCTCCTGGACCACTGGGCCGCGAGGAATGCGCGGTTCACAACTCCCATCACCTGGCAACCCTCTCTAGCTGGGCTCTGCATCGCACACCCTCCTCACTTCTGCAGACAAAGTCACACCTCCATCCTGCCCGTCTCCAGTGATCTCTCTGCAACCGCCCTCTCCACCTACAACAAGTTCAAGCTTCTCCTAGCCTAGGAGAAACAAAACAAAAAGCATGGCCCTTTAGGTGTTAGCTCAGAAAGAGACAAAACACAAACAAACAACCCTGAAAACCTTTGACCCTACATATTACTTCTGGAGCCTTAATTTCCCCCTTTGTTTCCAGAATCAACTGTCAGGCATTTTTCAGTCTTGCCTCATTCTCCTTAACCCTGGAGGTATTTAGCAATGACTCACTGTCTCTGAACAGCAGATCTATCTATGTTCAGGCTCAGCTGTGATTTCCCTCAATAAATAAAGCTTGCCTTGATTCCCACACACACAGCCCAGCTCTTAAAAGTCTCAGGGAAGTGGAGATTACTATACAAACAAAGCAAACTGCCTTTAAAACAGTAAACTTCCTATGGAGAAACAAGTGTCCCAGGGGACATAATCACTGTTGGTGGGAATTTTACAAGGGCACAGTCAGCATGAAACTGTGGTCACTTCTATAATGAGCATTAATTCAGACTAACCTGCCAATGCTGAGTGACAGCATTCCACACTCCCACTTTTCCCGTGTGACTCGTGGCCACCAACTGGTTCCCAATAAAGAAGAGGGCATCTACAGGAACACCAAGACTGAACACACCTTAAAAGGCAAAAGCAAACAGAGACATTAGTCAGGCACCATTTTTATACCAGTTGCAACCTAATTTGAAACCATCTCCACAGTTACTGATTTAAGCCTACGGATTGTGTTCTATGCTCAATAGGGATCAGAAGTAAGACAGAACCTCTAAGTTCTTAAGCCCTTCTGAACTCCTGAAGCAGAGGAGACTGCCCAGAGATCTCCCATAGCTGTGCTGTCTCACGGTGGGGTCCTCACTCCTACTTCAGCATCACAGCAACCTTGCAGGTAGGAACAGAAAGGACTTCGGGATTACACAAGACTTGGTAAGAGCTGCTGGAAATTCAAAGGCAGATCCTGGGGACACTGACTAAAGACAAACACTTGGCAGCCCAACTCTCCTGAAGGTGTCTAAAAATGCAGAAAGAACAACTGAAGACCAAACAGTCAGGGTGCAGTCAACACAAGCACGTAAGCCTTTAATTACAAGCTCATTTTAAGTCACTTTCCCAGCATTGACAATTCACTCAAACTGACTAAAAAGGAACCGTATAATGCAGAGGGTTTCTAAAAGAAGAAAAAGCACAAGGGACTGATTTTAGCGGGGCCTAAGACTAGTAGGAGAAAGTGCATTTAACTCTCGTGCAGCAGAAGGACGCAGGGACACCAACACTGGGAGCGACAAAGGAGAGAGGCAGAGGGCGAAGGAACAAGTCATGCGAGTCTACAGTGTCGTCAAGCTGGAGAACCAGAAAGGTTAATAATGAAACTGTAAGAAAAGGCAGTGTGGCCTAAGGGACATCACACTAAGGCAAGAGCCAGACTTCCAGGCAGCTCTCAGGTGACACGTGAGGCCTACGCACGGGCCTGTCTCCAGCAGTGTCTAGACAGGAAGCCTCATCATCGACATACTTCCTGTTCTTCCTGTACCAGCTATGAAAAGCTCAAGCCAAATGTCTGCCATCATTTTCACTGTAAAAATGGTGTGCTCAAAACATCTTACTTGAGAAACACCTTCTGGGAAATGTCTTTGAATCCACTAACTGGGGAAACTGAGACCCATCCATAAACCCTGCTTTATGTGGGCCATTACTGAAGCGTTTCAAAGAAGTGCCCTAGTGCCAATGTGAAGAATGTTTTCAACATTTAGCTACCAAAACAAAACTCAGGGAAAACAAAGTGTCCTTTAAAAAAACACAACCCAGACAAGATGCTGTTTCTCCTGGGCCTCATAGCAGCCCTGGGTCTCCTTTGTGCTCAGGACTACTCGATATGTAAGACCAGGGGCGTCTCACTGCACTTTGAAAGCTCTAAAGCAGACTGAGAAAGCCATGGGCCAGCCAGATGACTTAGGAGAGAAAAGCGCAGGCCTGATAGCCGGAATCACAGCCACAAAACCTCCAATGAAAAGAGAAAACAGACTCCCAAAAAATGTGCCTGACCCCAGATGCACCATGGCACATGCTCGCACTTGTGCACATTCATACTCACAAATTTTAAATGTCAGAGATCAAGCAGTAAGAAGGGTGACATAAATGGATAAAGCCAAAACTCAGAAGAAAATCTGAGAAAGTGCAGCTAGGAACTCACACACATAAGGGTCTGTATAAACACATATTCACATATCAGGCACATGACTACAACACCTGCCAACCAAGACAGAGCAAAGTAAGCTATAAGATACATAAATCACCACTACTGCCCTTTGACAAAAACAGTAAAGAGACAAACAGCACCAAAGCAGAAGGTAGTAACCCTACATTATACACAAGTATTAACATAGCAATACTGTGGTTTTGAGGCAGGACAACTTTAAAAAAAAAATGAAGCCAACTGTATTCAGTCCCGCAGCAGAAATTAAAGCAGGATGATTTTCCCCTAGAGAAGGGTAAGGTTTTGGGAAATCAAGGATGACACTGTGAATGGTCTCGGGAATTGGAAGTGTCACTCCCACTTAGACTCAAGGGTCTTGACCACTGTTTGCAGGGAAGGCAACAGCATGAGCTATGATGACCTCCATGCAGCCTCACACATACAATACTGCCTGCTGCAGCAGTCCTGCAGTCTCCCCCGAGTTGTAGGGCAGAGCTTTAGCCTCGGGAGAGACTACCATGAACCCATGAGCCCAACAATGTTCTCAGGATGACGGTGTCAAATTCCGAAGGACAGCACACAACAAACGCCTACCTTTACGGGACATGAACGGATGCTATGGGACCAGCTCCTACTGCAGCTCCCTATCAGGCTAGTCTCTGGAAACAAACTCAGCCTGCTTTCTTAAATACTGCAGAGGCCCTGCCCAGCGGTGGTGACCTGGACCCTTCTCATCAATCATCAACAAGAAAATGTACAACAGGCTTGCCCACAGGCCAATCTGGGGAGGGCACTTTTGCAAATGAGGTTCTCTCTTTCCAAATGACTCTAGCTTGTGTCAAGCTGCCATAAAACTAGCCAGCATGGAAGTGTGTATTTAATGTTAAAATTTGTTTTCTAACAGACTGAAGGGAAAAGGTCATACTATCAACCATGATAGGACAAATGGTATTCAATTATCCCACACTTTAAAACACTAACAGCAAAACTGGAAAAAAAAAAAAACAACAAGGTGACATTTAAAGCAATGAAGAAAAGGCAGCAAAGGACTCAAGACATGGGCAACCCTGTCTTCCTGCTTCCAGAATTCCCATCACCACACAGAGATGATCACTATGCAGTGGGACACACACATGCACACACGCAGGCATGCATGAACACACACAGAAACTGCACAGGGGCTTCGCTAAGGTCCCATCACTACAGAGATGGGCCTGGGAGGTGGGGGGACGATACAGAGGTGGACACTGAGTAAGGGTAAGAGTGGGGGGACACACAGAAGTTGCGCAGGGGCTTCACTAGTGACACCCAAGGGATAAATGGAGGGTGCTATGAGCATGTGGATGGTGGGAAGTCCCAAGAGCCACAAGTAGATAAGGTGCCGTCTCAGAGTGGTATGTATGCCTTGCTTGAAGACCTCAGACTCTCACTGGGAGGAAACGAGGAGGAGAGAGGGAGAAGGTGGAGCAAGAGAGATTTGGTATTTGGCATACTGTTCCCCACAAATAAACAAAGCAAACGTAATTCAAGGAAAGCGTCAGATGGTACTTGTTGACAGCTATAAAAAGCTAAAGTTCCGTGTTGTAGGATATTTGTGCAGTGTGTGAAGGTGCCTTACTGTCAATGGTGTAATAAAACCTGAACAGCCAATAGCTAGGCAGGCAGGAGGTATAGGTGGGATTTCCAGGGAAAAGAGGAGGAGGGGAAATCTAGAGGAGATAGCAGCAGACACTGAGAGGTAACACCACATGACAGAACAGACTAATATAAATGTGCTAAACTAACTTGTAAAGTTAGGAACAAGCCTAAGCTACAGAACAAGCTTTACAATTTGATATTACTTAGGGGTGATGGCTGACGGAAAACTACTACTACAGTTTCAGGTGAAGGTGAGTACTCTGAAGATCTCATCTGACAGGAGAGTGACCACTTCCTAACACAGGGAGTCAGATGTGTGACCAGTGAGGATGCAAGGCCTGATGTTGATGTTTACAGTGAATTGTATCAGTGTCTAGAGAAGCTGCCTAACTCAGGAAGCCAACATTTCCAATTGACCAGCACAGGTAATCCAGACCAAGGCCTGGAGTAAAGACCACATTCGAAGAACAAAGCAGGCTGGTGGGTTTCAATTCAGCAGTCAGAAAAGTTTCACAATTCTGGCACAAAATTCAAGGGAAAGAGTCACAATTATCTGAAAGAATTTTTTTAAAAAATTGTTTTTCCCCAAACTGTTTATCTGTTTCAAGCCACCCTGTCTTTGTATACATCAATAAAAACAATGTATCACAGCAAACTAAATACAGAAGTATATTTAAGAATTAAAAAAGGCATTGCACATGGCTATGGAGAGGGTCAAGTGCTTGCTGCATATGTATGAGGGCCCAAGTTCAAATCCCTAGCACACACCTGAAAATGCAGAGAGCAAAATGTCCTAGCTGCCTGTAACCTAGGGTCAGCGATAGGATGTGAGCAGACAGTGGATCACTGGGTTTGTTGGTCAGCCTCGGCAAAACCCAGCAAGCTCCAAGTTAGTGAAAGACTGCCTCAAAGGGGTAAACTGGAGAATGATAGGGTAGGAGACCCCATGTATTCCTGGAAATCCACAGACAGGCACATAGGCATGTATACCGGCACATACATGGGCACGCAGGCAGAAACGGCACACATACACACAAAACAAGTTTAAGAAGACATCACGGACAATATTACTTGTCTCAAAAATTTCCTTTTTGGAAAACATCTCTTTCCGCTAACATGTAATTTGAATCACCATGCAATGAGTTTAGTACTGCTATTTGTTTTCACATTAATAGTGTTTAAAACTGAGTTTAATTTCTAATAAGGTGAATGCCAATAGATAACAACCTGTATCATGACACTTTCTGGTCTCGACTAACCTAAGAGAGCTTTGGTTCTGAGAATCTGGCTACAGAAACAAGACAACCTGAGCTACTTACCCACCTTCGGAGGGGCAGAGTGGAGGGAAACAGCCACCACTCAATGGAACTGAGAGTGAGGAGCAACTCCCTGTGCTGCAGCCAGGCTCGAACGGAGCAATTTGAGCCCCAGGGCTCCCTCCTCAAGCAGCAGTGTCTCCCTCCGGCACACCATCCTCTCACTGAGTAGGCCTATGGCCACTGGGCCCCAGCAGGAAGTGTCACAGGCTCAGCTGGCTGTCACACCTACAGCCAGTCTCTCCTAAACTTCAAGCTTCCATGGACAACAGCCCAGCGCATTGTAAAATTCTCCCTACCGATTTCACTTCCGCTTCCTCCGTCCTGGACGCTCCACAGGATGATGCTGCTCTCTGAGGCCACGGCCACCATTTTGTCTTTGTCTCCATGAGGACCTCCAACCACTTTTGCATTTAAAGCCACTCTTTCAATGGTCCAGTCCAGATACGGGCTTGTAAACACTTGCTGCCATCCCGAAGACTCTTTGATTCTGTTAGCGAAAGAAGTAAAGTAAACTTAGGGGCAGATGAGAAAAAGGACTGAAATCAACATGGGGTGGGGCGGGGAGGGGGAGGCCACGCCTTCCACCTATCTACATTTACTGAATGCAGCTGATACATCATTACTGTTGTAGAATATTATTTTAAGTGGGCAAAGGTGTATTACATTTGTTTATGCTGTGGGACATTAACTGTATAAAGGTGTGTTACATTTGTTTATGCTGTGGGATATTAATTGTGTAAAGGTGTGTTACATTTGTTTATGCTGCAGAATGTTACTTTAACTGTGTAAAGGTGTGCTACTTTTGTTCATGCTGCATTTGTTTAAGGATGTAAGGATGTGTGTTAAATTATGCAATGATGTGTTGCATCTGTTTCACCATGCTTGGCTAAGGCACCTGACTGGTTTAACAAAAAGCTGAATAGCCAATAGCTACGCAGGACAAAGGATAGGCGGGGCTAGCAGGCAGAGAGAATAAACAGGAGGAGGGAGAAATTCAGACTCGAGAGGAGACAAGAGAGAAGGAGAAGAGAATGAGAAAGACACCCAGGGACAAGTAGCCAAGCAGCCATCAGACAGACAGCAAGAAAATAAGGGAAGGATGGTAAAAAGCCCCGAGGCATAGATAGAGAACAGGTCCATTTAAAAAAGCTAGTCAGAAATGAGCTGCAGCTAGGTGGAACACTTACAACTAATAGTTTCTGTGCCATGATTTGGGAGAAGGTTGGTAGCCCAAAATAAAAACCCTGGTACAATCTAAAGACAGTATTACTATTCCTGATCTTACATTTACATACACAGGACATGTGACCACAAAAAGGACTAGGATTTGTATTTCTCCAAAGAATTTAAGTTTTATAGAATGCTTTTAAAAGTTTTTTTAAGATAGTTGCATTTCTCACATTTTCCCACAAAGCTACTGCTGTCATTCTGTATGGACAACGCTGGCCAACAACAGTCAGAATTTTAGATGGAGTTTGTATTCCTTCCTGTCAGCAATCATATTAATGCTGTCACTAGTGTGACGTGGCATTATGAAGTGAAGTCTCTGTACCCTATGTGGCATTACATCCTAACTTAAGTTCCTTAGAAAAAAAGCACAGTGTAGCTGACAAGTCTTGTGAGGTGGTTTATAGAGTCTAGACCACTGATTCCAGCAAGAACATCTTTCAGCTTCTCCAGTGACCTATAGGTGATAGTCCCTTTGGGCTATCCTTCTCTCCCGCCCCTAACGCCCCTTTCCCCTGTCTCTCTCTGAGATAAGGTCTTCCTGTGTACCCGATGCTGGCCGGAAGTGGAACTCACTGTGTCTCCAACTCAACCCTCCTGACTCAGGATCTCAAGAGCTGAGATTATAGACGGGACTATCATGTCTGGTTCCACTTTAAAAGACTCCTCTGTCCTGCGTGGGTTTAGTTCTTCCAGACAGGTGTTCTACATGACGGCACAGCAGGCCTCCAAGGTCACAGCGTGATTCTGTCATCATGATGATGAGGTCAGCAAAAGTATCATCCTGGTCCTGCCTAGCAGGGGAAGGACAAAGCTGCCCTTTCACACTGTGGCACATGGTGAAATCTAACCCGTGGCCATTGCTAGAACACGCGATGCTTAATTGGCACAGGCATGGGCCACCACTTTCCTTCCAATATGTATGTGCAAGTAAAATAACTACAGCTCACAAAATGAAGCCTTAACTCAGAATTAATGTGTTCCTAACTAAGCTTCAAAGCAATAAAGGGTAAAAATGTAACAACTTCCCCACATTTTAAGGTCTGTAATTACCACTCTCGGCCACCAGATGGGAGTGATGTGTTAAGGAAAACAACATCACTCACCCAATGAACTCAAAAACTGACAGCTACTGAAGGAATGAAATGTAGACTTCTAGGCCCTCTCTGACTGGGCACAAAGCAGGGATTGTCCACAGCGCAGGACTGGTGCCACATGCTGCGTGCTGACGTGGACACAGGCTGGCTCCCAGCAGACCTCGGCAGACAGGCTGGTGGGTTAATGGTGCAGAGGGTGAGAGCGCGTGGCTTTGACAGTGGCCGCCACACCGTCTTCCATTTTAACTATCTTGTAAAACGACTATGAAATCTCCTTTGAAGTCTATGTGGTCATCAGTCTGCCGTGTGACTTGACGTTTGTAAGGAAAGCCGGCACTATCAGCCTCCATTACCACACTGCTCCGTCACCAGCTACAGCGTGACTGCCAGCCTAAGCAAGAGACCACAAAAGCAGATGCAAGCGATGATGTGAACAGCACCTCTGCCTTCTCCTGCCCTTCCTCCTGTGGGACTGTCTTCAACACTCTCTATAGCATGGTGACACGGGCACAGCTGCCCCACCACGTAACCGTCACAATCAAGCAAGTTCCTAGAATCCCTGTCAATAACCAAATGTGCACCCACCCAGTACTAAACAACCAGTTTAGAGTCAGATAATGGTAAATTATTATTTTTTTTTCTGGTTTTTCGAGACAGGGTTTCTCTGTATTGTTTGGAGGCTGTCGGTCCAGCCTGGCCTCGAACTCACAGAGATCTGCCTGCCTCTGCCTCTCGAGTGCTGGGATTAAAGGCGTGCGCCACCAACACCTGGCTAATGGTAAATTTAAAACTATAAAAACTCCCTTCACTAAATTAATCCCATGACATATGAACTATCTACAAAATAATCACCCCAAAGCTCATTTTTGTACTCTTTGGTGAATGAATTAAAAACCTGCAAAGTGCTCAGGACAAAGTCCCCTTACTCACCACCGAAACCAAAGCCACACCCAAGCAGGTGGCAAGCAGCTCCCTCCAGAGGCAAACCTGCCTGGCACACTTTCAGGATTCACAGTGGGACCATAAACAACTCCTGAAGAACCCTTCAGCTATCTTTTTTCTTAACCGAAGTGACAAAAATGTCTAACTTCTTTGACTTTAAAAGCAACCAAGTTAGATGGGATCACATGGCGGGAGCAAATTCTGGCCACCTCTCTGCCTCTGCCACCGGAGCAGCAGCATGGCCTGGGGCCCACAGCCCACGGGGCTTTGACGACAGAGTCCACCTTCCCCAGTTAGAAACAAACAAGCTCACTTTGGACTCTGCACTCCTCTTCACTGCTTAGTCTAATCCAACTGCCTTAAAACTCCGCACGTTGCAGACAGAGCTGTGTTATTCTACACACACCGTTCTGCGTGGCTACTCCCAACGGTGCACCAACCACACAGCACAGAGCTCCCCTCTGCTCTGTTGCACAGTACCTCACTGACTCATCATAAAAAAGGAATTGCAGAGCTCACAGTAGAACCCTGCCTACTGCTGCCAATGTAACAACTAAGTGAGCCAGAGAGCAACATATCTCATCCGCGTCAGTTTCTACCTCCTGGGAAACACAGCAGCCGATTAGGCTATCAGAATTAGGTACCAAAGTAGGTATCAAGTAAAAACAAACTAAATTTTTACCAAGTAAAGTGGGTGAAACATGCAGGAGAAAAACCGGTGGCTAGAAGAAGCATATTCAATGTAAATATAAAATATAATTATCTAAAATAAAACCAAATGGTGATTAAGAACGTGGTACCTGTAACACACAGCAAAATGTGCATAGGCAGCTACAATCCAGTTGTGGTGGCCAGCGACTATTAGCACCTTTCTTGGATCCACGGGAAATCCTGCCGGTTTTAGAGAGAAACATTTACATCTTAAATGAATTGGAAAGTTCTGGCTCCCAGGCCATTTCATGCGTCTGTCTGTCTGGGTGTCAGAGCAGAGCATGCTCACAGCTTACACTACCCAGCATGCCTTCATTAGACAGAGGCAAACAGACACCACACAGCCCCCAGGAGCCTAGAATGGGATCTCACTGGCTAGCTCTCAACACAAAGCTTGTCAACTGTTCTACAGACAAAAACAACAGAAAGAAAACAGAAACAGAGATCATATTACACTTCAAATAAGAATGTGTGTTAGATGAGACTTTCCAAGATATAAGCGATGAATCTGGACTTAAAATGGAAACAAAGGGCTGGGGTGTGGCTTGGTACCTTCGCACTCTGTACTGCAGCCATGGGTTCAACACACAGCACCGTGAGGGAGTGTCAGAGTATAAGAGTGTGTGTGGTCTGTGAGCAGCCAAAGAGTAATACTCAAACTCATGGCAGCCTGTCACGGAGAACTAAGAACAAGTGTTCTTTCTGGTGTTCTGACACCCCACTTACCCAGCCTAACAGTCTCGTCTCCATCTCCAGAGAGCACAGGCTGGGTCCCGCTTCCCCGGGCTTCGCCTTCTGTAGGATTTAGTCCATTCCTAGCATCCACAGAGGACCTAGCTGTGTTAGTTATTTTACGACTGGGAATGCCTGCAAAGCAGAAGACACAGATTTATCTGCTACCCTTCCAAAAATGAAAAATATCACATTGTAACAGAGGGACATCTAAACTTTCTTATATCTAAAATAGGTGTTCAAACATGTCAGTGTATGTCAAACAGTTTAACTATTACAGGAAAAAGGGAAATAAGAGAAACCCAACCAATTCCTGGTATTTTACTATTCACAGACAATGGGATTAAGGCCTGTCATATTATGCGCCACTTGACCCGGCTTCAGCGTACTGAGCAATCAATCCAGCCAGTCTAAGCGGCTCTTTAGATTTATGGGAGTCACACGTCATCCTAACCGTGCCTCAGAGTTCCATCGCCTCATACTTTCAGAGGGGATCTTTTCAAAAGTAAACCTCTCTAAGAAGCACGATACTGCCCAGGCAAAGGTCAACTCTTCCAAGTGACCGAGAGGACAGTGACCTAACCCTGCAGAGCTCCAGGGCTCAGGGCCTCGGGCTAAGGGGTCGGAGGTGCAGCTGTGGTGACCTACCTTCTTGGGCCCTTACAAGCCTGCTCTATACACTGTGTGGCTGCACTCTCCTTAAACGGCACAGGCTGGTGGGGCCCAGGTTTGTTGAAACTCAAATAGCCGAGAGGGCCTTTCTAAGCTTTACGTTTGTTCTTGCTCAGTGACAGGCCTGAGCACATCTGCGCAGCAGTACCTGGTGGGGGCAAGTAGCCGTGGAACAGGACACTGCCACAGGATGACCTCTCCAGCTCCTCACACAGCAGCAGCCTTCGCACTGTAACAGACAACACAAGCTTGTCAGGGGGCCGTGCAAACACAGACCTGCGCCTCCACGTCTACGCTCTCCAGGTAAGGGTGGCGAGAAGAGAAGGGAGACATGTTTAGGGGGACTCACAGCTGAGGTCACCCTTTTACTAGGAAACACTAAGCACTGAGCTCCTCTCAGGAGGACCTGAGAGAAGACACTGCCGTTGGGCAGGTGTGTCACACAGGGTCAGTCCTGGGAGATGAACACATACCCAGCGGAGTGATCCCGTAGAACTCAGCTTCGTGTCTGAGAGCACTGATGCTCACTCCCCTGCAAAGAAACAAATGAAGGCTGTGAGCTCTCCACACGGACAACCTGCCCACCCCGGGGACAGACTGAGGAAACCCAGCACCAGACTCCTCAAGCTCAAATCTTGTCTTTCTCATGTTCTTTTAGTAACGCCCTTAATCACCTCCCAGTCTAAAGGAACATCACATGGAGCACAACGTTCTGCTGGGGCTGGAGAGATCAGTGGTTAAGGGTGCTGCTGCTCTTCCAGAAGGCAGATTCAGTTCCCAGCAGCCAGGGGGCAGCTCACATCCACCTGAAACTCCAGTTCCAGGGGCTCCAACTCCCTCTCCTGACCCCCAAGGGCACACTGCAAGCCCAAGGAACACAGATGCATGTGTGAAGGAAACACACATCAAAAATAAATAAAACCTTAAAATAAAAGCATTTGCTACCTACCTTAAAGCCTTAACATATTTTGATGATTCGTGTAAGAGGGCTAATACAAACAAATTTTCAAGAGAAACCCGGTAAGAAAAAAGATGGGCTTACTGTACTTCTCACCACAATCCTTTCTATCCATACTTTAATCTTCCCCGCTGTGCCGCGAGCACCCTGCAAGTTTCTCCTCCTCCTCCTCTTCCTCCTCCTCCCTGTTCCCATTAACAGCCCTCACTTCCACACCCTGTAGTACATCCAAGAAGAAGCCCTAGCACACACAATTGTGAGTGAGCTATTTCATGTGTCACCGTTAGCAGGAAGGGGGACAAGTGTTGGAGGACAGCACTGCAGCCCAAAGATGAGGACACATGGGGTAGGCGTTCAGATCCCTCCACACCACAGAAATGCCAGGTGGGGTGTGGCAGCCCACATGTAACCCCAGAATGCAGAAGGCAGAGACAGAGGGCCCAAGAGCAAGCTGGCTAGCAAAACGAAACCAAGTGATGGCAAGATCGACCCTGCCTTCAAGTAAAAGGCAGAGAAACTGATCCAAGATGGCTGACACCAACCTTAGTTAGAACATAAGGACACACGGACAGGGATGGACAGACGGGGGCACACACACACACGCTGAATATTTCTCAACTCCCCTTTAAAACCAAAAGTCAATAGCCCAGCGGCATAGGCTAAAGACTAGGAAGGCTTAGGACACACTGTTAACACGGTATGCCTTGGTAAGCACAAACACACAACTAAAAAGCAGTCATGGGCAAGCACATTACTTTGTGAACAGCCCAAACACTGGCTGCCAGCAAGGCCTCAGAAATGATCAGACTCTTACCTTAAGTCAAGTTCTTTTGTCCGGAGAAAATTTAAAATGGGGGCGAATGCTGCCGGGTCCCTATCAATAAATATCTGCAAGTGAAGAATTGTTTATTATCAAGACAAAATGTATGTCCCTCCTTCAACAGAGACTGCCTGAGATTTCCTTGCTTTTGATGTTTCTAAGACTCCAATGGTATAGCTGTGGTCTGTCAGTGTGGTCACGTGAGTGTTTTCGTTTCTAGTTATTGATAATGCTTGGGGGAGCGACCCCCGGGAAACCTCAGGCCGCTCTGGCAGCACCCAGTGAGGCAGCCACCGTGACTGCCATACAGACAGAAGTCGGGGCTGCCACAGCTGTCACCTAGAGTGCAGGCCTTCCACAGGCTCAGCTGACAACCTCACCATCTCTGCTTCAAGAGCTTGGTGGATACAGGATGGAAGACCACGGCATCCACAGGACAAAGAAGCTGCCAATGGGAAAACCACGAACTGGGTATTTTATTAATTTTTAACTAAGATAGCTTCATGCAGACACATCTGCTTTGGTGTTTACTTTTGCGGATCTCATCCAATAAACGACTTCACAGTGCTTCTGTGGGTTGTCACTGTTGCTAACAGTAGCCGTCTGAACAGCTCTACACCCACCGCAATGCTGTAAGTGCAGAAGCCAACCTCTTGGCTTAGACTTTACAAGACTTTGTTTCCAAGCTATATTGCCTCACAGGTTCATAAAAAAAATGTAGGAGTTTACCCACCTACAAATTTCTAGTACTCTAATACCAAAATATTTTCTTTTTATATACTTATTGACTATTACAGTTTCAGTTACTGACTAAGGAACTATTCTGTCAATTGTCAATGTAAGCTACATCCTACAATTGCTCTAATCGCAAACATCTCAAACTGCTATATACAATAGTTACTGCTTAGGGGTCTCTTTTCACTTTAGAAATTTTTTCCAGAAGAAAAAATTTTTTAAATGCCACACTAACTTTGTTTCCTAAAATGTGAGCTTTCCTGTCACTCTGCACTAAAAATTACAAGCATTTGTTGATGGAATTTAGAAACACAACAACATTATACTCACAGCGCCAGTTTCATCTCGAAGTGTTGAAATTCTTCCACTCAGCAAGCTAGGAGTCATAAAACAAGCTCCAGTTAGTCACAATCGAACATAAACAACTTCCTTACTAACTGTCAAAGTCAACACAAGCAAGCTTGTGCCTCCAACTTTAAAAGAAAAACCTCAGTTTTAAGCAGGTGTGGGGTGTATGCCTGTAACTCCAACAACAAGAAGGCTGAGGCAGGAGAAAGAGGAGTTCAAGACCAGACTGGGATACATGGCAAAACTCTCCTCCATCGTACAAAGACAATAAGATTTCTAATTTAACAGTTAACATTTTTTTTGTTTTTTGTTTTGTTTTGTTTTGTTTTCTTGTTTTTTTACGAGACAGGGTTTCTCTGTATTGTTTTGGAGGCTGTCGGTCCAGCCCGGCCTCGAACTCACAGAGATCCGCCTGCCTCTGCCTCCCGAGTGCTGGGATTAAAGGCGAGCGCCACCACCGCCCGGCTAACAGTTAACATTTTTAATTCAAACTATTAAAAAACTTAACTAATAAAGAAAAATTCCATATTTTGGCAACTGATAAAATGTATAAAAACATGAAGAATTACATTAATTACCTGGAAAAAAAAGAATCTGGAATCCACATAAGAGTCTGCCTTGAGGTACTGAATCTGCAATTGAAATCACCTTGCGTTATAAATGAAAACACACTGAGACATGAGACAGTAACGCTCACAGGTGGATAAGATTACACTTGCATTGATCATATTTACCGTGTTTACTACTTTTAAATTTTACCACTTTGCAATCAGAGTTGAGACTCTCAAACAGCTCTCAGCAAAACCAAATGCAAATCCTAAAACCCCACTCCTTGAGTCCATCACAGCGAATCTCAGCCTCCCACTCAGCTCAGCCATGTGCAGATCTTTGGTGCCGCTGCTGTCTCTCGACTCTGCGTGTTCTGTCTCATCTTCATCCCAGCTCAGTCACCTTCCTCACATCCAGGACTGCCAAGTCCCAGCCATCTTGCTGACATGACTGCGTTACCAAATCCACAACGGCTCTTCAAGACACTCCGTCCCATAAGACCTCTATCTGAGCAACTAGTTACTGGTGTGAACTATGTACTCAATACTCTCCATACAGCATTCTTGGGATGTTTCCGTACATGAGTACAGTGGGTACTACCTGCTCTTCGTTCATCCCAGCCTGTCATTCAAAGTTTCCTTCACTTCCTTTCACATCTTCCAAGTGGCAGAGCAAACGTCAGTGGACTGCAGGCCAAGCTGAGGACCACCAAGGTCAATGCACACCTAAGCACTGAGACACACAGCCTTAAAACATTTCCTTTCTCGATAGACGATTGCTCCTGCCCCTTAAAACCTACAACTTCCAAGCTTACTTTGAATGCTCCTTAAAACTTCCAAGCTTACTTTCAGGAGTGTGTATAATAACAATAATAAATAATAATAATATCAATAATAATAATAATCATATGTTTGTAAAAAGCAGGTGGCAGTGTTTGGAGTGACCTGCAATCCTGCAGCCTGGCACTGGCACAGACCCAACAGCTACTTTGAAACAGAGGTGTGATAATTAGATGCACAATTAAGTGTTTCGTAGAAACTGAGACTCTGGTTCCTTTGTACAACCTGAGGGCTTTAAATGGTTACAACAGAGCATTTCCACATAAATTATTGACAAACACATTAAGCTGTCCATGTGGTCACTGGCCTGACCAGGCCTTATGTCACCTAATGACAGTGATAGCAGAAAAAAAGTACGAGCTCCCTTCCACAAACGTCTGATACAGCCCAATTATCTCAGACTTCGCCTGTTGTTGTCACAGCAAGCTTCTTAATCACAGGGGAAAAAATGATCTCTGCCTGCTCCATCCATTGTTCAGTCTGTAAGGAAGACACAGCCTCTCACTGAACTACTAGGGGAAAGAGGGAAATAACTGGTTTCTACAGATATACTTATTTTTACTATCTTATGTGTATGAGTGTTTTGCGTGTATGTACCCAGGTGCACCATGTGCGTGCCCAGCGCACACAGAGGGCAGTAGAGGTCATCAGATCCCTCTGGGACTGGAGTTACAGACTGTTGTGGCCACCAGGTGGGTGGTAGGAATCAAACCTGGGATCTCTGCAAGAGCAACAAGTGCTCCTAACCACTGAACCAACTCCCCAGCCCCAAATAATTCATTTCTGATAGATCCATCTCTACATCTGTTGCATTAAAAGATCTTACAGAGGCACAGAGGTGCTAACTCCCAACTAATCTCACAAGTTATAAATAATCTAAGTGTTGTCAAGCAATTCCTATGCTCATTAGTCAGACTAAGAAAGGAGCTAAAACCAGGTAAGGTGGCACATGCCTGTAATTCCACTACTCCAGAGGCTGAGGCAGGGGAATGGCATGAGCTCCATGCCAGCATGGGATACATAGCAAATTAGATGCCAGTAAGACTTTGTCTCAAATAAATACATAAAGACATAAACAAACAGGAAGGAGTTCAATAAACATGTCGTCAAGAACATATGGCCAATTTTTCCTGAGGATGAGTCTTAGCAAACTCTTTAACATAACATGGTTACCACTAGGCACCAAAAACGTAAGTCAATTAAAAGCAAACCAGTCAGCAATGAATGGAGGCATCCACAGAAAGACTGGAAGCATTAGACAACTTCAAGTAATGATGGTGGAAGAGCTGATTGTCTAGAATCAATGGAAACAACCCTTTGGGCGTGTCTGTGAAGGAGTTCCTAGACTAGAGTAAATGAAGTGTGAAGACACCCTAGTCCTAGTTTGTTTTCTGCTGTTATGATAAAACTTTGACCAAATCAGCCTATTTGTCTTCCAGGTCTCAGTCCATCACTGTAGGAGGCCAAGGCAGGAACTGAAGCAGACCATGGAGTAATGCTGCTTGCTGGCTCCCCTTTCCTTAGCTTACTCAGCTACCTTTCTGATACAGCCCCTGCCTGCCTGCTGCCTGCTGCCTGCCTCCCTGTTGCCTGCCTGCCTGCTGCCTGCCTGCCTGCCTGCCTGCCTGCCGCCTGCCTGCCTGCCTGCCTGCCTGCCTGCCTGCCTGCCTGCCTGCCTGCCTGCCTGCTGCCTGCCTGCCTGCTGCCTGCCTCCCTGTTGCCTGCCTGCCTGCCTGCCTGCCTGCCTGCCTGCCTGCCTGCCTGCCTGCTGCCTGCCTGCCTGCCTGCCTGCTGCCTGCCTGCTGCCTGCCTGCCTGCCTGCCTGCCTGCTGCCTGCCTGCCTGCCTGCCTGCCTGCCTGCTGCCTGCCTGCCTGCCTGCCTGCCTGCCTGCCTGCCTGCCTGCCTGCTGCCTGCCTGCCTGCCTGCTGCCTGCCTGCCTGCTGCCTGCCTGCTGCCTGCCTGCCTGCCTGCTGCCTGCCTCCCTGTTGCCTGCCTGCCTGCCTGCCTGCTGCCTGCCTGCTGCCTGCCTGCCTGCCTGCCTGCCTGCCTGCCTGCCTCCCTGTTGCCTGCCCGCCCGCCTGCCTGCCTGCCTCCCTGTTGCCTGCCTGCCTGCCTGCCTCCCTGTTGCCTGCCCGCCCGCCTGCCTGCCTGCCTCCCTGTTGCCTGCCTGCCTGCCTGCCTGCCTGCCTGCTGCCTGCCTGCCTCCCTGTTGCCTGCCCGCCCGCCCGCCCGCCCGCCCGCCCGCCTGCCTCCCTGTTGCCTGCCTGCCTGCCTGCCTGCCTGCCTGCCTGCCTCCCTGCTGCCTGCCTAAGGATGCTACTACCCACAGCATGCTGGGCCCTCCTCTATCAATTAGCAATGAAGAGAATGTTCCTCGTGGCTTGCTCAGCTTGCTTTTTTGTATGACCCAGAACCACCTATCCAAGAGAGGTACCACCCACAGTGGGCCAGGCCTTCCCACATCCATCTTTAATCAAGGCAATGTCCCAAAGATTTGCCTACAGGCTAACCGTAAGGAGACAATTTCCTAGATGACCCTCTCGCTTCTGTCATGTTGACAAAAAAAAATACAAAAGAAAACCCACCAGCACCATTCACTGGCTGGTGTTTAGGAACTACAGGCAGTAATCTAAGCTTCGGCACCATCGTGGCCTGCAGACTCCAACAGGAGCCCAGAGAGCTCTGACTTCTTTGAGTCGCTTCTGTCGGGTGCTCTGTCATGTCGAGAAAACAAACACGGATGGTTTATAACTTCTGACATTCCGTTCTCATCACCTTCAGGAAAGCATGTCAAAGTACACAGGCCTGCTGAAAATCATGATGCCCCAGTAGGCATGGTGGCACGCTTCTGTCGCCCCACATTCAGAGGTGGAGATGGTCACGGGCAGAAGGAGGGAAGCCCAGCTACGCAGTGCATCCGCATGGAGCCCACCCCAGAAGATGGTCTGCAACTTTGGGCAGAGACAGGAAACCTTGTCTATACGATTAACATAGTTCTCTGCTACATATACATGAGGGCCTTTCCTGTTTTGTATCTCATATCTGAAGTGTGCCAAGGATGGGTGGATGGATGGCAAACACGTCCAAAAGATGACTAAAGAAATCAGCAGATCCGGTTACCCTCCACTCTAGCAGCTTGTTACTAAATCCATCTGGAAATCTGAAAGTAGCCCAAGTCAAACTGTTGGCTATGAGTCATCACTACGATGCCATTACCCTCACCTTTCATGTTTAGTGCCTCAATTTCCTCCATCAGTCCATGGTCTGGCACTGTCGTCACTTTGCGCTTCTGGAAACTGAGCCAACTTGGAGGGCTTGTCCCTAAGTGGGTCCCTGCCAAGCGGCCCTCTCCTATCTAAACTGACACCTAAGTAAACGGATCTTGAGGGGCACTGGGATTCTTCACCAACGCTGGAAACAGTGAACACTAGCAGTTTTTAAAGAAACCCCAGCAAGTGCTAAGTCAGACAGAACCTGCCCATCCGAGTCAGTCCCTGAGCAGCGAGCTTCTGTGTCTGCCCTCTGCGTTCGACAGACACATCTCCTCTTACTCTGTGACTTGGGAGCTTCAAGCCATGCCACAGGCCATCGTCCCATAGGCCTTCCTGAGTTCACAGCCACCCACAAAAGGGCTTTTTGCTCTTCCAGGGACCTCTGTGACCGTCTTCACGGTGTCAAACTGCTTTGTACAAAGCAAACATGACTTCTGGCCCTCTTCTAGCCCTCCAGTGCTAACAGGGTGTGTGAGCACTTGATAAAGGCTTGGAAACGGGGTTCCAACACTTGGCATCAAATGCTGTCGCTGCTTGTGACATAGTCAACCCTAATAATCCCAAGGCTTAATCTTTACTTTTATATTTTATTCCCACCTAACGACTTTTATCTGCTAAAATGTTCAAATCAGTAATAAATGTACTGCCATGTTTTGTGTTCTCTGCTAATTAGCACTGTGAAAAATTCAGAATCAAGTTCCACAGGTAAAGTAAAATGTTCAAGACTCGAAGCTCGAGTGTGCTTGTAGTTCTTGGAGCTCTGTCGTTAAGACACCAACTTTCTTTTTTACTATTTTATTTTTGTTACTGACACAGACGGCATGGGGGTGGGGAGGGGCGTGTCATAGTGTGCATGTGGCGTCCGGAGAGCAACTCTGTGGAGTCAGATTTCTTTCTCCTTTCACCTTTACATGGGCTCCAAGGATGAAAGCCCGATTGCCAGGTGTGCTTCCTTAAGCGGCTTTATCGGGCTAGTCATCGTGCTGGCCGCATCCATCTCCAACACACAGTAAATAGCAACATCAGGGCTGAGGACAGGGCTCGGTGACTAAGAACACTTGCTGCTCTTGTTTGGTTCCCAGAATTCAGTTCGCACCCATGTCAGGTGGGCTCACAGCAAAAGCCACACCCCTGAAACTCCAGCTCTAAGGGATCCTCTGGCCTCCCCAGACACCTGCATCACACACACGATGAAGACAATTAGCAGTCTTCTCCAAACTAACAAGACAGCTTAGTTTTTGTCATAACGCTCTGCTCCTTTGAGTGTCTGTAAGGAGGTACGTCAGCCACCCATAGTGTCAAGATTTTAAGTGAGCACAATCTTGCTTCTTTGTAGTAACAAACGCTAGACCTCTTTATGGAGTATTTCACTTTTGCGTACCAAGCTACCTGCAATACTTTCGTGTGATTTTAGGTGGGCACGGAAACCACATTCCTTACACTAGGAGATAGATATTTGCATATGACCTGGTATGTTTACAATGCAGTCGTGGTGCAACTTCTCCAACTGTTAAAACCTTGCTTAGTAGGAAAAGCGTGACAGAACACGACAAATTCTAGCTTAGAGTTCTCCAGCACCAGATGGCCACCTTACTGTTTTCACTGCTGTTAACTTGTAGTTTTTAAATAAGCAAAAGGTTCTACGCTTAAAGTCTTAGACATTGAAAACTAGTCTTCCCGGGCAGCAAAATAGCCTATGTCCCAAGTATCTGACTCCCTACATCCTTATGGCTAAAACCCAAGCTCCCCTCAACAGTGCTGGTGCATCACCTCTTTTCTGAGAAGAAAATCTGTAAGTCGTGGCAAACCTACCACAACGGATTTGGTCGTTGTTGTTTGGTTTGTTTTTGATTTTGTTTTTTGGCCAATTAACTTACTAAAAGGCACAGAATGGGAGTAGAAGGCCCAAGAGAGAATACAGAGTACAGCTGGTTTCCTCCTCGCCAACACCTAAGGTGCTCACAAGCCGGTTTTAGACACACGCCTCTACAAGTGGAATAGATCCTTCCTGTCCGGGCACAACGAAAAACTCTGGAAATAAACAGCGATGTTGATCTACCCGGCCCCCTGAACTGACATTTCTACTACAGTCCCTACCAAAACCGGCTTTCAAAGGTGCAGTAGCTAAACCCACAGCTAAGTGAACCTAGAGAAAGGGAGGCCCGCTCCTAAGCAACAGCTCAAGCCCTAGACCGGGCTTTACTGAGACTACAACCTGCTGGAATGCCTACAGCATGCTCGCTTAGCAGGCGGGAGGCCCTGAGTCACTAGCTCAGACAGGCCCAGCATGCCAACAGAGTTCCTCCAGCCTGACACCCTAGGACCCCGGAGGCACAAAGACTGAGTTCTAACCATATGTGCACTTGACCTGGGACCAGACTCTGAGGAATGCGCGGGGCTGCTTGGGCCATACAAACGCGTCCCCGCCTGCAGCGGGTACCCTACCCCACCCGGCCATGCAGACACCGACCAGGTTGCAGCAGGTACCCTATTTGGCCGTGCAGATACCGCCCAGGCTGCAGCACGTACCCCCACCTGGCCATGCCGACGCCGACCCCGCTGCAGCAGGTACCCCACCGGGCCCTGCCGACGCCCCCTAGGCTGCAGCAGGTTGCCCACCGGGCCGTGAAGTCCCAGCCCCAGGCTGCAGCGGGCACCCCATCTAGTCGCGCAGACGCCGCCCCCGCTGCAGCAGGTAGCCCACCTGGGCTTGCAGATGCTGCGGCCGCGGGTGTCCCGCCCACTTGTCCCCGCGCGGCTGCAGGCTCACCTGGTCCCCCCTACGTTCAGCTGCACGATCTCCCCGCTGCCGGCCGCCGCCGCGGCGAAGCTGCCGCAGTGCCCGCCCGCCATGTCTGCGGCCGGAGACCGGGGCCGAGGCCAGGAGCCGCGGGTCGGCGGCCGGAGCACACACGGAGCACCGAGCCTTCCGCGGCGTCCCGGCTCGCTCCCGCCTCCCCCGCTGAGTGTCCCTCCCGGCCTCCGCCTCTCGCGGCTGCAGGCCGCCGGCCCGGCCCAGCCCGGCCTCTCCTCAGGGCCCGCTCGCCTCCATGGCGGCCGCCACAGCCGTCGGGAGGACGGGTCGCCGCGTGGGACAAAACGGCGCAGCGTTGGCGCTTCACGGCTACGGAGGAGAGTGGGCGGGGCCTGCGCGAGGGCGGAGTTTCAGGAGGCAGGCGGGTCCCCGGCTGAGGGTCTAGGGCTTTTTTTTTTAATCCATGTCCACCGTCACACTGATTGACTGGGGGGGGGGGGGAGGGACGGGACTTCGCAATTGTTCGGGTTGATGTCGAATGCACGTGTGCACATTCAATGAAGACTTAAGAATCCGAACCCCTTACAGCTCATTGCCTGCAAACTCCATAACTTCCATGCTGCCACCGCCCAGGGCAGGAGAGACCAAAACCACCCATGGGGTGTGCAATGACCGGCGACATGTTTCTAGAATGTAGATACACACGATTTTGTCTTGCTTACTGATTCGGATTTTTTTTGTTGTTGTTGTTGTTCTTAGCATCACGCACTGCAATTCCAAACCTGGGGATGGAACTGGTGACTTTGTGCTTGCTGGACGCCACTGACCTAAACGCCCAACCCCTAAACCATACTTTTCCAGTCTGCTATGGCAATGGACCCTAGCTAATGGTGATAAGACCGAAATCACAGCTAACCTGTGTTAAGTGCGGGCTTAGTATAAATGGGTGGTTCATAGGTGTGTGTGTGTTTCTGTTTTACAAGGAGTCCTAGGGACTGAACCAGATCTTTACACATGCAGAACATTCTACCACTTGGCCCTAGCTCCACTTCAAACACAGAAGACTGAGATTTAAAATCGCCTGCAAACTTGCTCAAAATTACACGGGTGGTAAAAGAGGGGAAAGGGAATGATCCCGATCAGATTTCATTGCATTCTTGTAAGAAGTCACAAAGAGTAAGACTTTTAAATGCTGTGATGCTGAAGAGGGACAGTGTTCTAGACAATGCTCTAGAATAAATATGGAAGGGCAGGATAAGCCGCTAGGCAGACCCAGGGCAGAAGGCTCATGGGAAACAAAGCTGCCTGTCTTAGTCAGGGTTACTGATGAAACACCATGACCAAAAGCAACTTGGGGAGAAAGAGTTTGGTTCATCAGAGGAAGTCAAGACAGGAACTGGAACACGGCAGGAACCTGGAGGCGGGAGCTGATGCAGAGGCCATGGAGGGTGCTGCTCACTGGCTTGCTTCCCTTGGCTTGCTCATCCTGCTTTCTCTTAGAACCCAGGGGTGGCAGCACCCAGAATGGGCTACACACCCCTCAATCACTAGTTAAGAAAATGCCCTGTTGGCCTACCTACAGCCTGATCTTACGGAGGCATTTTCTCAAGTGAGGCTCCCTCTGTGCAGATGACTCTAGCTAGTGTCCAGTTGGTAAGAAACTAGCTAGGACACTTCCTTTAATTGAAAGAGAAATATGGGAAGGAGTGCCCACATGGAGAGATCTGCTTTCATTATTCAGAACCAGAAGCAGTCAGAAAGGAAGAGACAGATAAGGGCATTAACATATCGTGGATTAACCTCCCACTGGCAACAGTAACCATCTTTCTCTTTCATTAGCTGAGAAAGGAATGTTTCCCCACGTGCATGTGCACACACTGCGGCCCACCCACCCCCTTTTCCCCCCCCACCCCTCTTTCCCCCCCACCCCCGCCCGAGCTAGTGTGGAAGTTTTGTGAAGTTCCTATTAGCAGTGGAAACTCACGGAAGGAAGTGGATCACTGGGCGTGGGGCTTGAGATTTTACAGTCCAGTCCCACTGCCCGACTTCTCCGGGCTTCCTGTGTGCCCAAGATGTGAAGTGCGAAGTTCTACTGTGCCTGTGGCCACCACGGTGCGCCTGCTGCCACGCCCTCCCCTCCGTGACACACTGCATCCCCTCGGACTGTGAGACAACATACTCTTCTTGAACAGGCCTGTGGTAGTGTGAATGTAACTGGCACCTGTAAACTCTTTGGGAAGGGAGTGGCACTATTAGGAGGTGTGACTTTGCTGGAGTAGTATGACCTAGTTGGAGGAAGTGTGTCACCGTGGAGGCTAGCTTTGAGGTCTCATGTATGTATGGTCAAGTCATACCCAGTATCTCAGACCTCTGGGTCTGAGAGGTTGCCTTCAGGTCAAGATGTAGGACTCTCAGCTCCTAATCCAGCACTATGTCTGCCTGCACACCACCATGCTTCCTGCCATGACGATAATGGATTAAACCTTTGAACCATAAGTCACCAATTAAATGTTTCCCTTTATAAGAGTTGCTGTGGTCATGGTGTCTCTTCACAGCAACTGAAACCTTGACTGAGAAAGAGTCCTCCTTAGACAAGCAGATCAAGGTGTTCCTGACAGCCATCTTTCAGGCAGGAAGTCGGGGAAAGATCTGTATTCTGCTTTGGGGAAGAGAAATGCTGTTTCCTATGGCCTGGAACTGCAGAAGAGAATCAGAATATGTAGATTAAAAACAAACATAGCATGCAAAACTCAGGCCAGCCTCCCAACCTTTCCCTCCTGCTAGCTCTGCCAGCACTAACTGGGCTTTTGCTTCCTAACTGGGCAAGATGGCACCCAAGGCAAGTCCTTCCCTCTGAAGAGCAAAGGTCACCTGGCTGTCCCAGAATCAGTAGACCTTCTCCTAGGGCCTGGCGCTGAAGGAAAGGGTCCTGGCTCTGTCCCAGAGGGTGCCAGCAAGGGAGATGCTCCACCTTCCACTTTGCCCCAAGTATCAGCTATTGATTTTCTCTGGTGCTGACACAACACCATGACCAAAAGCAACCTAGGATAGCAAAGCATTTATTTTGGCCTACAGGCTACTGAGTAGGTAGTCCAACAATGGCTGTCTTCTACCGGAGCGGTCCAGCGTCTGGCAGCAGCTTAGCCTGCAAGGCTGGATGGAGCATCAGACTCCTGACATTGGAGACCTAGAGGGCCCTCTTCTGATCGCCATGACACAAGCCCCAACACGGACACATATAATAAGAAACAAAATCTTTTTCAAGAAGGAAGTAACTATTTGGCTTTTCCTCAGGATGGGAGAGTCATTATCTTAGGGTTCTATATCTCTTATGTGTAAGTGATTTAAATTATATTTCCCAGGGTGATAATCTACATCTCTTGGGCATCTTTTCATTCTTTAATTTATTTAATAACTAAGTACCATTTCAGAGTAACCAGTGTAGATCTATAATAGCTAATAGAGCCCACTTTGGGCAATCTAGGGAAACTAGGTCAGAAATAAGTGAAAGTTTTACTTTTACAGACCAAAATAAAAAACAAAGCAAAACAAAACAAGCAAACAAACCAACACCAGGGTGTCATAAGGGAATTTTCTGATCAAAGAGAAATCTATTCTTCTGCCACTGATCACATGGGTCATATTTATGAGACAATGAACAGTGATTCAGAATTCTAAGAGGCAGAGCACTCAACAAAGCCTCTCTGTGCTCCATTTGATACACAAGAGCAACAAGCTCCCAGTGTCCACAGCGCTCTGCGCTCTGCTGCTGAGAGAGCTTTCCTCTAAAGGTCAGGGCAGAAGTGGGAGGCAGCCTTGCAGGCTTTGGGCCAAAGGAAGCGATGCAGGGTCAGGAGGTCATGTGGGGTCAGGAGGTCATGTGGGGTCAGGAGGTCATGCTGGGTCAGGAGGTCATGCTGGGTCAGGAGGTCATGTGGGGTCAGGAGGTCATGCGGGGTCAGGAGGCCATGCAGGGTCAATCTTTGGACACATCCCCCTCTGTCTTTCTCCCCACTGGAGGAACCGGCCTCCTTCCTATGCCACATGATTGGCAGGAGTGACTGCGATTGAATTGTAGGGGAACAGAAAGGTGGACTCCCTTCCTTCTGCAGAGGTAAGCAAGCTGCCGAATGCAGTGGGAGGGTAGAAAAAGCGTAAGAGTCACTATTCTTTCATTTACTAGCCTTCTTGTAACTTATCTAGATCATCTGTGAGACTGGAAGGGACAGAGCCAGCCACTCCCTCCTGTTAGGATGTCCTATGATTATTTTATTAAGGAAGAAATCACTTACGTGAGAAGCCAAGAAAGTCGAGAACCAAAGGTCCACACGCTGCTCTCCAGGCCTTTTAGCCCAAGAACGTTCGGCAAGACCTTCTGCAAGTGAGCACATGAAATAGCAAACAAGGGAAAGACATTCACTGATAAGTCAGAGAGGAGAGTGGAATGGCTTAATGAGCTAAGGTGCTTGCTACACAAGCCTTGTGACCTGAGTCTGAGTCCCAGAATCCAGGTAAAGGTGGAGAGAGAACCAGCTCCATCAATCCAAGAGTCCTCTGTCCACCACAGGTACATTGAGGTGCATGTGCCCCTCCACCAGTAATAACCAATAAAAGTTTAAAAGAGAGTGTCAGGCATTTCTTTGGTAAATATAATTTTCCATTTGCATACTGAGATGGATGTCTTTGATAATTTTACATGCATAATTAAATATTGGTTGATTATTGGATACTACAGGTGTTTTTTTAGAGCTTTTCTATGTTTTGGTTTTTGCAGTAGTCTATGCTGAGAAGGCTACCATGTGTAAATATACAGTACAAAACAGCAAAAGTATATTTAGAACCATTTCAGAAATCACGAGACAGTGCTGTAACCCCAAGCCAACATTCATTTAGTGACCTTCCATGACTCTCAAGAAAGCAGCTCAAACTACCATTTAAGATCAAACACTCTCACACAATCCAGTGCCAAGGTATGGTAGCCTCATACAGACCGAGGAACAGCAACAAAAATGCTGAAAGTCTGCGTTTTCTGTGACTCAAACCATCATTGTGATTCTGTGAGAGAAGAATCTGCAGGTAGCGGTAAAAATGCTGAAACTCACAACTCGTGAGAGTCAAATCCGAGCCCCGTGTTTCAGGCAGCATTCCTCGCCACCGTGTCATGTGATTGCATGTGCCCTGAAAAGTGTTCATTCTGTTTGTTCAGAACCTAGGCCATGGTGAAGTCCCACAGAGCAACACAGGCAGCAAGGCACCAGAAGGCACCAGAAACAACTAAGGATATATAATTCCAGATGCTGCCAACACATCTCTCTCTCTCT